TACGCCTCCATATATAACACTGACCACTGGAAAGCAAAAATTGCATTTGATATTGCACACGCATGCTGTACTTGAGATTTCACATTAACCTCTTCAACCTCAGACTTATTATTCAGGAATAAATACACACCTAACAACACGACATCACATTGTGTGAATGTGTGCTATTTCAGGTTAGGTTTGTTACAGGACTGGATCAGATTCATTCTTTTTTCCCCCCACTGATACTGATGCCCATTAAAACCTACAGTTTTGTGCAAAGTCAGAGACTACACTTCATTTGTTTAATTTTGTGTTTTAATATATTACACAGTACTGTACATGCCATCTTAGTGCAGGCCTCTGAGAGCTTTTAGCTCTGTGCTATTGTGCAACTTCACTCTCTTGGGGAGAAAAAGATGCTCTTTAAGTAATTTTTCATTTATTTTAAAATACTTTCAGAAAATGTAACACAAATGTCCTTTTGTTCACATTCAACTCAAAAAGTTACCCAGTCCTTCAAGGTGCGTTTGGTGTCTGAAGCTGGGCAAAAAGTAGAGGCAAAATTCAAGCTTCAAGATGGCTGCCACTACTGCTTTTAACTATGCAGTGCACATTTTTATAGAAAACAGTGTGCCACACAGTGTCAGAAACCACATCAGCAAGTCAGTTCGAGATTAAATGACAACACAATTTGAGACAAGTGTTTAAGACAACTCTTAAATCAGTGTTGGATGACAGATCGAATGAGCTGTTCGTAGCTGTAATGTAGCTGATTTTAGGTCAGTGTTTGAACAGGGAGAGTTCTAGCTGGGTGAAACAGTGGACGAGCGTGAGAGTCACGGGTTTGGAGCTGCTCCTGCATTCTTCTCTCCTTCTGCTCTGGAGGAAATGTTTGCTCTCTCATTTCCTCTCTTACATTCCCGTCGCTTTCACACTCATGCCATGAGCCTGCAGGTCCAGAAAAAATGGCTCGCATGCCCCGACTGTGTGTGCTTATGTCTGACTGAGAGAGGGAGAGAGAGGAAGAGAGGGAGCACCTGCCATTTCATATCAAGCTGTTCCAGCTTTCTTCTAGCATAATCCCTTTTTCCACTGCGTCTGGATACTCTGACTCTTTATTGCCCTGCAGTCCTTTCTCTCTCAGTGCAAAGGTCAGAGTTGAAGAATCTCAGGACGTAGGCAGATGGTTCTCTCTCTCTGTCTCTATCTCTTTCTTTTTCTGTCTGTCCCCCAGGCTTCAAACCAGATTTCACCTTCATGCTCAGACTCCTTGGGTGAATTTAATTAATTATAGTCTATAGTGGAGTTTGGGGTTGAAAAATGCATAAGGATGCATCAGTCTGAAGGTGGCAGATTCAACTACATTGATTTTCAGAATGTTAATGTTGATTATAATAATGTTCAATAATGTTAGGTATGCGCTTGTTTTTTGGCCAAAGCAAAATTCTTGGACTACATTTCTATGCAAAAGTTTAAACAGAATATATATATATATATATATATATATATATATATATATATATATATATATATATATATATATATATCAGAATATATGTTTTGTTTTTTTTCTGTAAATTTTTACTGTACACCTTGTATTTATTTACTGAGTGTAACTTATTGGTAAAAAAAATGAAACATGAGTTTCCTCTCTTTCAGAAAAGCTATTCGATTGCTAATAGGCCCCACTGGTGGAGAATCTTCAGACTGACTTTATTGTGACCTGCAGATTATATGTTTGCCATTCAGGTTGCAAATGAATCACTAAATACATAAATTACAATCAAGTAATTTTTAAATCACATAATCAGTTTTAATCAAGCGATCGTGACAGCCCTAATCAAACTGATTCAAATTGTAGTGGAATTTGAGATTTCATGGTGCACTGAACTGTTTCCTATATTTTTGTAATCAAATCGAATCATATAAGTTCAGAGATTTAAACCCCTAGTGGAACTGGACACTTCAGCATCTGTTTTTATATGCACCATCTAAGAACTCGTGCGTTTACAGCACATTCACATTAGAAATTTAGTATCACATGAAAGGCAAAAACTGTCCCAAGACGTAACTGTCCTTTAAGTGCTTGTCAACAAACATCAAGGAACAGGCAGTTTATTCTGTCTGTTGTCTTCTTTATGTGTTTGCACAATTGTCTGGCTGGCTGGTTGTCGTCATAGATACTCCTAAAAGGGCATAGTGTCTTTGGCCAAGTGTGTGTTGAGTGCGTCTTCAGGAAATGTCTCTGGAAACAAACACCTTTTGGTGGATCAGTACAACAGCTGTTCATGAAGCAGTAGTGTCCTTGGGTTTACAAGGGATTTGTGGGCAACTTTGTGGGCTTGAAATAAACATCTTTCTCATCCTTAAAAAGAAACTTTAAAACTGTGACTGTACAATATATTGTTTGTTAATCAAAGCCATATTAATGATACAAATTGAGTTGAAATAATGATTAACAAATCATATATTGTGCAGTTACAAAGTTTTGGGCTTTTTTAGGGTTTTATTTTATTTTTTTATATTGACGTGATATTGCAATACTGATATGTCACAAAGCTGCAATGGGAGCCATAAATTGATTTTTATTAAATAATTTAGACTGGTCTTGAATCGCATCAAGTGTTCACTGTTGTGTTTTATTATATTGTGAGCATATGGAAAAAGCAACAGTATGACTTAAGGAGAAAGAACTCAGAGATGGGTTATCCTTCATTTATACAATATTTTTCTTTTGGGTACAGCTGCACAATATCATAGAATCACACTATGGTATATGAAAAAAGAGGAGCTTAACATAAACATTTAATTGTAAGCATTTCTGGAGATTGCTCTCCGATACCCAGCATTACACAAACATGTCATACTACCATTGGGATTCCCCTCTCAGAGCAATAAAGAAATCCTGCCTGCTCTCATAGCCACTGACGAAGAGGCTAATAAACATAGGCGTGAGGTTTGACTTCCTTGCAGTAACATTAGCTATGTGGCTTCCTTCTGCATTAGCCAGCTAGCAGAGAAACAAACAGCCCACTCTCAAGTATCCACCCAAAATTGCTTGTAGTTTTTAATGTGCCTTGATGATACATCATCAGAAAAGTGTTCACTAGTCTTTAAACAGGATGATCTCACTCTAGAGACTACTGCAGCACTGCTGTAGGAGGCACGTAGGCTTGTCTACAACAGATGTAGTGATTTTTGATTTTGGCCAGAGTGTATCTTTAACTGTGTTTAATTTGAGTAAATAAGATTAACAGCGGATGTCATTTAGAACATTTCTTTCCTCTGGGTATTTATAACTGGAAAAGCAGGATCAGTAATACATTTAATTTTATTTAAAAACTGAACAAACATGCTATTTTCCAGAGAGTAAACACTGCATTACATGTCAGTTTGCACATCAGCAATGTGTTGGCTCTTAATGTGGATGTCCCTGTACCTCCATGGTTGTATGTGTGCTTGAAGTCAGTGTAGACTCATGTTGACATTGTGTGAGTGCCATCTGCTGTGCAGACATGTGGACCTCTGTGTGTGTGTGTGTGTGTGTGTATGTGTGTGTGTGTCGACATGTGCTGGGGTATTATTATGGTAAGCTCCAGGCCCCAGACGGACACCCCCCTTTTTTAAAGTTCAGAGGTCAACAGTTCTGAACCCCATCTGGAGCTGAGTTAAAGAGATACTACAGCTTAGTCTCAGTGACTCAGAGAGCTCTATAATAGAGCAGCATACTTCTGTGTGTGTGTGTGTGTGTGCGTGCGTGCGCGCGTGTGTGTGGAGATCGTCAATGGAAAAGAAGAGGCTAATAATGGCCAAACAGAGCAGAGGCATTTGAAACCACACTCTCTATGTGTATGTCTTAGACATAGAATGGTGGTGCATACACAACACTTTGTTTACTGCTACACCCTCCTAGCGCTGGCAACATTGTGTGATAGTGGATGGAACTGGACCCGAATAAAATTGGGTAGAAAAATTGGGGAAAATGCCAACAAAACCAAAACTCCTAACTCCTAACACTACCTTTGCTTCACCTCTGTAAAATCATCAAATTGATAAGATAAGAGCACCTGCTAAATGCTGTAAATGCATTAAATTAAATCAGGTATGCTGGTGGTGGAATTTAGCAAATCTATGTAATAGCTGGTGGCATCAAGAAGAAATCTGGAACCAAGCTTGTTCTCCTCTAACTAGCTCATAAAATGTCGACTACGTTTTACTGTATTTATATTTTGTATTTATTCTAATGGTATATAGTATTACTGGCAAAGACATAATTACTGCTAAGATAAATGGGTTTGCTTAGGTGCCTAAAGCCTTTGTATGGTACTGTATAAACACTGCACATAAATGAGTGTGCTCATCAGACTCATTCTTACTGTAAGAGAGACCAGTAGCAGAATTTTAAATATGCATTATCATCACTGAGAAGGTTTGTTTCATTTGAAGATTGGGTTTAAACAAGTAATCGTAAATGCCCTAAACTCCGTCTTACTGTGCAATTATGGCAAAGTGAAACAAAGCTTGCACTGCCATCTAGGGGCTGGTTTGCAAAGTGCACATTTGCTTTCTCTATGCTGGTGGTCACCAACCTTGATCCTGGAGATCTACCTTCCTGCGGAGTCCAGTTCCACCCACAGTCTGATCCAGCTGATTAACAACTTTTTGAGTTTTTGATTGGCTAAATCAGATGCATTAGTGTTAGATACAGTTTGAAGGTAAACTCCAGCAGAGTAGATCTCCAGGAGGAGGGATGCTGACCACCGCTGTACTTTCTGAGATGCACTGAAATAGCATGATTGATGCATATGAAACAAACTGATGTGTGAAAGGAAAAAAAATCTAGATAAAAAATGTAAAGATCAAGATTATTGTTCACTAGATGGCAGTAGAAGCATTTTTTTTATATTCATTGTGAATTAGGGCAGTTTTGTAGTATGCCTTTGAGAGGAACATGTACATATGTAAGTATGTAGAAATGTGTTTGTAAGCTAAAGCTGTGTATGTTTGTTTCTTTGTAGGAGGTGACGAGTAAGAGTAAAGTTTGTGCAAATGTGTTCTGTGGAGCAGGACGAGAGTGTGCAGTGACAGAGAAAGGACAACCCACTTGCATGTGTATTGAGGTGAGCAAGAACACATACGTGCACACACCAAACTGCACTAAGCTCATTATACACCTCATTATACACCATTATATACCTCTTGTACCAATCCACAATATTTACAGTTTTTTAATTGACACCTCTTTTTTGATCTTAAAAAGTATTAAAAATGAAAAAAGTATATGTACTCACCCTGTGCTTTTGTTGTAGGTCATACATTGTTACAGAATATACATGTTTGCTACTAGGAGGGAAGTTTGATGGCAGTCAGAAATTGAGAATAGACTTGTAGGTTAATAATAGACCCCAGCCAATATATTGGTTGTCTGAAAATATCAGCCAGTATTGATAACCTGCGGTTTTATTGGTGTTGGAGAAAATATTGCAGATAAAGTGTCAACAACTGAGACTGTTTGGTCAATGCATCTCGATTTTAGTATTTTAGTGTTAAATTAGACAGCCGTGTGTGGAGATTGCAGTACAAGGAACCCCCTCTACACACTCTATATAGAACCAAAAAGGTTCTTTGATATGTACGATGTAACCCTTTTTAGAGCTATTCCCAACAATTTAAAAGGGGTTAAGGAACCATATTCAACAGACTTTGCACCATGAAAAAACATTTAACCATGCAAAGAACAATTTATGAATTCACATGGTTCCTTCAGGATTCTGTATAGAACCATTGCCAAGCTTAGAAGAACCAGTTTTACAGTTTATTCGAGTTTAAGAAGTGTGACATTTGAGGTCTCACAGTCATATCAGTCAGTAAAGCACTGAGTATAAAATTTAAATCTAAAATCTGAATTGACCTATAAAATGATATCTGCTCCTTTTATCAGTTATCAGAAATTTAGTGCCTAAAAACACAGGTAACAGCTACAAAATTTTCGGTCATGTCCTAATTAATCATGGGACATTTTTGCAGATGTATGGATCAGGTGAAATTTAGATTTTTTTTTAACACACTCTCCAAATGTTTACAGACAATTCACATACTCTGCTTCCTGAAACAGTTTGCACATTCAGGCCTCAGCACATAAAACTTTTCTCAAAGAATATGCCGTGTGTGTTCATCAGTAATGTTCATATACAGTGTTTTAAACAGACTGTTCACCAGACTAAGGTGCGTGTATGTATGTTGGACCTTTGCAGCAATGTAAGCCCCATAAGCGTACAGTGTGCGGCAGTAATGGGAAGACCTACCGCAACCACTGTGAGCTTCACCGTGATGCCTGTCTGACTGGACTCAAGATACAGGTGGCCCATGATGGACACTGCGAAGGTGTGTATGTGTGTATGATCCAGAGGCATCTTCCAGGATAAACTAGTTTGTTTGAGTTTATCAGTAATAAAAATATGTAAAAATTAATGTTCGTATTTAATATTATATTTATATTTAGAGTCAATTATGTAGTTACTTACAGTTTACTTCTTACATCTAATGCTTGACATGCAGTGTGAGATAGACTCCTTTGAAAAGATGCTAATATCTTTTCTAATTCCTTAACACGACAGTTTGTTGAAAAATCTAATTTACATACTTTTCCTCATACCTCAAATGTAGCTGATCAGCATGAAAATGTTTGGTGGCTAAAGTTTCCTTCTTGAATTTTACACTAATGTTTTCCCAATATCGTCACACACGTGCCTCAAACCATGTGTTTAGTAGCTTTTTTGGTAGACTTTTTGGTGAGGTTACGTGCTCACAGCCATATAGCGCTTGTTTGACTGCTGTGAGCGTATAATAGTCTCTTTAAAAGTGGGTTCTATGGAATTAAAGGATTGTGTAGTTAGTGCTTGGATTATTATAAATGTGGATATAGTTTATGGCAATTTATCACTAATAAAGTGTCAAAAATGAAATGAAAGCACACAGTTTGACATAGCATATTGCACACAAAAGTCTGCCTGCTATAAGAGTGCCGCTTTGCTGACATGATGTCATGAAATTGCAACTCGGAGAAGCTTTTTTAAAATAGTAATTATGAGTTAATTAGCCATTCAAAAGGTTCCCACTTGGAATTTGTAAACTTCCATGCTATCCACTTCATAATATTCATATATATTTGTTCCTGCATACTATTATTTTACCAAATAAACAAACAAAACAGACTACAGATACTTTTACTGAAATGTAGTTATCGTTATTTTATTACACTGAGTGCATTTCAGTCTGCAGTGAAATATTTTCACAGAACAAACGCTGCCTTGTGCTGCTAGAGAATATTCTGAGGCCAGACAACATATTGTAGCTGTCAGAATAAAACCTTGTATCTTCATTTTTGACTTTTTCATTTTTTTTTGTCATTTAAAAATACCAGCTGCCATTTACACTGTGACAAAATTGCATGACAAAGGGCCCACAAGAAATGCTCAAAAATTACTTAAATGTTAGTTCATTAACTTACATCGAATGTTATAGGTTTTTTCCTTCTCCTGTGAAGTCACTTTTTTGGAGATATAATTTTTTTTGACAGCAATAATATCAGGGCTGATACAGGACATGGACTGCACACTAAAAGAAAACAAAAGATTACTAGAAAAATATGATTAGTGCATCTAAAAGCCATGGATGGTGCATTTTCTAACATTCTCAACTTGATAAGCAATCTTGATAGATTTGCACTTCACTATAATATTGTCAGTCAGCTCTTGCGTGGATTCTGATACTGAAAGACACTGTTATCTATAAAAATGGACAAAAGCACAGGCAAAATTCAGGTTTCGAAATGGATACTACTAATGTTTTTATTTTTGCTCAGGATGTGATAGAGGGAATCCAGGGGGCTCTGGAACTTCCTAATTAACTTCTTGGTTACACCCCAAAATTCTGCGGTGTCCCTTAAAATAAACTTATTATGACATTAAAATAAACTTATTATGACATTATAAACTTATTATTTCTGTTAGGGAAAAATGGACACTCAAATACAAATTCAGGGAAAAATCATTGTTTAACCTGCTTCACCCACTCAGCACTGGACTGCCTCAGGGTGGTGCTGTAGCAAATTGGTTCACTCAGTTGGTCCTTCATAGCCCGGCAGGTATGCTCGGGATACCTCTGAAAAACTTGACAGTATGCCACAGCTTATTTGTAAATCTGAAAACTTGCCCGATTTCCCAAGAGACTGGTGGAAAGAGTGAAGTGTTACTCCAGTTCAATTTCCAAAACTGAAGACAAAAGAGGAGAGGTGTAAGATCCCAATTAGAATTTGGAAGACTGCAAAGCCAAACTAGAAAAGAGCTTTTCCAAAAGATAAATTGTTGAACTAAGCATTTTGTTGCCATTAAAGCTAGCATCAGTGCTGCTATGGCAAGTGAGTTAGCAGCCAGTCAGTGCTGGAGAAATCAGCCAACATGGGACGACCTGAATACCAGGGAGTATTTCGCACATTGTCTATGCTACAAACATTTGTCTGTTTATATAGAGAGCAGTAAGTCAAACTGTGTCAGAAACCACATAAGCAATTCTGTTTGAGGCACCAAGCATGTCTTTGATGGCTTTCTGCATGTGTGGTGAGGAGAAAGTGGAGTTTATTATTTTTTTTTACTGATTTATTCCTTTTATACTGAAGCAAATTGAAATTGTTTAGATATAACATGCAAAAAAATATAAAATTACCTCTGAATAAAATAAACTGGATCAACTGGACCTGGTTGCAGTGCTCCTTTCTCATTGGTCTGGGAAAAGGAATATTTGTGGTTATGAGCCAATTAAGTAAAAGCTCAAAATTCTAAAGCTGCAGATGGACTGACTCTTAGGAACTCTGGTGCTGAGTCACAAGTAAAAGAACCGGCACTTGAATGTGAGGGAAATTTAAGAACATGCTGATATTTCTTTTATCTTAGCACTAACCGTGAACTCACCACCTTATTTTTCTCTCTCATTTTTTTTCCAGAGAAAAGAACAGACAAGGTCGCTGCAAGCCCGAGTGAGTACACGTGCAGCTGTTGCACTGCATGCTTCTCTTCTCAGTAATGGAAAACCAGGAGCATGGAAAGTTAATATCTGCCAGAGCCTCTCATGCCCCCAGCTCTAGTTCTGAGTATTAGGGGCTTTGAACTAGTCCATGAGGTCTTCATACTTCACATTTTCACAAGGACAGCTTAGCAAAAATACGTTTTTTATTAGGAGTTAAGATGTTTCTATGTTGAGCAAATTGACCATTGTAGTGGGATTCAGGGGGACTGGACATGTCTGAATATTTTGGGATCATGTTTATGCTTTGGTAAAATGGAGGTCCCTTGAAAGGTAGGCCGAGAACCTCTTTGTGTTTGTGTGTTTATGACCACATCTTTCTTTACGTTACAGTGCCAGTGAAAGGTTTGAACACATCTCATGAAAGGCTTATGCTTAAAAGAGAATTCCACCAATTTTCCATAATTCCCTGTTAAGATGGAAACAAAGTTATTCAGAGTGGTTTGATGTGAATTGTGCCATTCTGGAGAACCTTACTGTTTCAGAATTGTTTACAGTGGTGTTAATAGGAACCAGACATCTGAACGTGAAAAGCTCCCTCACAGACACTTATTAGATGAAATGGTTATGAATGTGCTGCCTGAAGCCTGAGACATTGTGTTTTGGTAGTTTTGAGAGAAGATTTTGGCCTAAAACATATTTTTAAAATCCATACATGCAAGGCAGGGCAAGGCAAGTATTTATATAGCACATTTCATACAAAGGCAGTGCAATGTGTTTTATATAAATTAAAGCAAAAATGAAAATTAAAGATAAAGTGCAGAGCAAATTAGTCCCCCCAAAAATGATTTTTTCAGATTTACCACAATTTTACTATTATCAACTTTAGATATAAAAACTCAGAAGACTCTTTTGGGTTCACTGGTGGTGTGGATAGTAAATAAAATGTCTATATTTGTGATGTAAACATTGCGACCCCAGTACGTATCACCACCACTGTAAAGAAATCTGAGTCAGTTAGTAACCACTCAAAATTACTTTGTTTACATTTCATCAATTGAGGTATAATTCCCCTTTAAAAGCCTGAAATATGTTTCTAAGATAAAAAGAAACAGTGATGTTAACGCCTATGTATGAAGGCTGTTTCATACAAACTAATAACAAAGACAATGTAAGGCTTCTTGTTGATGCATATTCCATGATTTGGTTGTATTTGTTCGTTTGTTTAGTCGTGTGTTACCTGGCGGATCGTAATGAGTTGAGGAGCCGTGTGATAGAGTGGCTGCAGACCGAGGTGATTCCTGATGGCTGGTTCACAAAAGGCTCCAACTTCTCAGACATCCTGCTCAAGTACTTCCAGGTATCTGTATCTGTGTGTGCATTCTGTTATTCACTTTTTAGGAACCACACAAATGTTCCCCAATTGTGGTGTAGAAATGCGTCGATATACGGTGCCTTGTACAAGTATTCAATACCCTTAAGTCATCACATTCATCTGGATTACGAATGACAAGTAAACAGATTGTCCCAGCCAGTATTTTTACTGCAAACCAATATGCTCTGGAAGTCAAAGTAAACATTATTTGTAAGCAGATGTTTACAAAATTATCAGAAAAATGCTGCTTGTATAATTAGTTTAAAAAAACTGTTTAAAACATGAAGAAATTGTTTATCAATTCAGAAGAATAATCTTGCCAGCCGTTAAGGCCTGTTGTTGAGCGTATGGTGGGGGGTGGACCTCTCAAGCTGTTTTCAAATGTAAAAAATTCAACAAAAAAGGCTTGATGTATTGCTTTTATCATCTGTATTGGACTACAGAGTATATAAGTAATGTGGTCACCTTCTAAATCAAAATAATCAAATTTTAATATATATAATGAAATTCGAGATTGCTTTGAATAATGTCCTAAAGAATTATAATCAAACTTGGTCACTGTACAATGACGTACAGTACAAAAAAAGAAAGAATTTCTGATATATGTTGGTTTCCATGAGCAAACAAGCTCATTTTATACAAAATGCTGCTTTCACTTTTTTGGGAGTGGGGGTGGGGGTTAGGATTAGGAGCAGCCACAGCAGTATTTAGCTACAGCAGTGCATATTTAGGCATTGTGGAAGCCCAAAGTAAGGTAGCAATAGCACAGCTGAGCAGGTGTGGATGCGTGTGTGTGTGTGGACGAGGGCACAGGAGGACGAATGGTGGCTGGATAATTCATTCATCCATTTCAGCGACCTCCAGACTGTTTGCTTTGTGGGGGCATCCTGTTTAGGTCTTGCATGTTTTTAAAGCAAAGCAAACACAGCAAAGTCCCAGTGACGGAGTGTGTTTGGAAATAGACACTGGGACAGACATTTAGATTATTTGGCATTTGTTTAGACAGCATGATGATGTGGAATTTAAGTTCATTCACTGGGTCCACAGATGTTATGTGGTTAAACTTTAACAATATATAATAGTACATTTCAAGCGTATTTTATTTAATGGCTTTAGATTTAGCTTAAGTTTGGCTACAGGTACACATCCATGTTGGGTAAGAGAAAATGTGAATATGGAAATCAGAATGTGGAGTTGGAGCTTTCTGTGTGCTGCAGTGTTTCTATCACTATATAAAAGAAGCTCCATGCTTTGCTTATTGATGGTGAATGTGCCCAAATTCAGAATGGAATCCACATCACCATAGAAATGCATATTGTTGATTGGTTTAGTACAAGTAACTATAAAAACAAATTATGAAGTGCATTACTACTTATGTTTTCTTACTGCATATGGTAGTTTGTATTACAACAAATAAAAATTTTTGAAAAAAAGTTTTTGGCTTTGGATTATGATCATACACATATCGAAATACAAGAAAATAAAAAGTAAATGTGACTACAGAATCAAGAAATCATTATTAATGTAGATAGTAAAAATATGCTTTTTGACTCAAGATTAAATGTTTAAAGTGAAACTAAATAATCCAGAGGTGAAGAAACCTCTGCTTTCATTGATCTCATACTTTTCATTTTTCTCTGTATGTCTCTGATGGGCTTGCTCTCTTGGTGGGGCTCTACGATTAATTGTTTTTATATCAAATTAGCAGTTTGAAAGATTGCAATTAGCAAACTGCAATTTTAATTATATCCTACACTATATTTAACGTTATCTTAAGTTTTAAGTGTGGAAGTGTAATCTAGAAACACAGAGCTTGTGAGCTGGCAATCTGGTACACTATATTCAGCATTCATTCCTCAAGCCTGAAAAAACAGTGCTAGTCTAAGACAGAACCGCTCTATTGTACTGATATGGAGCATCTCTGACAGCCTCCGTTTAAAACATGGAAGTTGATTTCCAATTCCAAAGAATAACTACTGTATTACTGTATGGGAGGGTGGTCATCTCAAGCTATTTTCAAATGTAAAAATCTTCTATATTACGAGCCTGGAGATTAATATATAGAAAATAATCACATTTATATCGCACATTTAATCACAATATCAGTCCAAAAAAATTGCAACTAGGTATTTTAACTGTTCAGCCCTATGTCTTGGCACTGCTTATGCAAGTCCTTAAGTACACTGTCTTAAAAAACCCACTCACACACATGCACACACCACACACACACATTTGCACTGGGTGGCACCATTATGTTTATCAGTGTAATCTTTGTAATTTGCACCTGACAGTCCATAAAGGCTTCATCTTTGTAACTTGCACCTCACAGTCTATAACAACATGCAATAAAGTTAAAAGCAGTAGCTTTGTAGCTTTAGTACCAGCTGCTACATGAAAGTGAGGGATTGCTCTGGCCCTTTGGAACGATACACAGTTCAGTCTGACAACGTGTCCGTTTTGCGACTTTTTACGCTGATGTAGGATCAGTTTTCCCTACACAAATACCCTGCATTCTATCTTGGTCATTATAAAAGAAATAGCTGGACTCAGAATCAGAATCAGAATCAAGCTTTATTGGCCAGGTATGCTATGCATATAAGGAATTTGGTTTTGGTTACAGGAGCTCACAGTGCACAGTACCAGACAGACATTTACGTGTAGTGAATAATATAAAATAAATCCAAGAACAGTTCCAAGAACAAATTTGTTTTCACCAAAGCCAAAGCTGCCAGCTAAAAGGCCATATTTTGAGAACGTTGTTTTTTTTGTCTCTTATCTTTAGATATATGAGTGTCCAAAAGGCTGTGGTCATGTTTACCTGACTAAAGAGCATAGTTTGCTGATGCTAATTGTTGGTCATGAGCTTCCATTGCTTTTTAGCTTCATTAGCCTCATAGCTCAAGTTCAAAACTGAGGAAGCAAATTTCTTAGCTGATTGATTACATTTGGAGTAAGGGGAGAACTGTGTAAATGAACTATAAGGTACAATTTAAGTAAAAAGGCAAGAGAGCATAAAAATATTTAGTTTCTTTTGATTTTATCTCCCTACAGAACTATGATAATGGAGATGCAAAACTGGACTCCACAGAGTTCCTCAAGTTCATCCAGCACAACGAGACAGCTATCAATATTACCTCGTACGCAGATGAGGAAAACAATCGCCTGCTGAGGTAAATCTGTCTCTCTCTCACACACACACATTCTTTTCTGTTACTCTCTGTTGATACTCACTTTGTTTGAGGTTTCTTCCTCATGCCGTCTCAGTGAGATATTTATCGCTACTGTACTCATTTGGCTTTCTTATTAAATGTTTTTTTCCAAATCTCTGTAAAGCTGCCTTCTGACAGTGTCTACTGTGAAAAATGTTGCTGAAATGAAAATGAACACTTGTTAATGCTTCTTTGGAGAATACATGGAAAATCTCAGGTTTAGCACCTCCCATATATTCTACATTTTTTTTTTATTTTGGTTCTGTGAATCAGTTTATTATTCAGTTATATACATTACATATAGGGCTGGTAAACCTAGTCTTGGACTAAATTGCAATTGAAATACTTTGTGGTCTAGGCCTAGGGTTGAATTCAGTATTTACTAATTTCATCCATGCAGTTTTTATTAGGACTTTCATTAAAACAGGTTTGCACTTTTCTTTGGATCATATGAACAGTCTGGAACACCTTTAGTTCAAAAATTACTAAACTCTATAAAACTTGAATTTTGGTATTGATTAGGTCAAAACGGTGTCAAGTTCTCTTATCTGAGAGCCGCTACAGTGATGCAAAGTTTTATTTGAACAGCCTTGTTTACATTTGCGTAACCCACAGCCTTGATACGTGAGCTCAGGATGGTGTTACTCAGGAACGTGTTAATGCTTTTACACCTTTGTTTATATCAGCTAATTCTAATTTACACAGTTTTCTCCTTATCCCAAATGTAAAAGTATACTGCACTAATGAAAATACAGTATTAGTAGCCATCTTAAAGCCTAATTTTCTTTTACTGTTGTTGATGTTCATAGATACTAGTATGTCACATAATGACAAGTCTATTTCAGGTTGTACAATGCTAATTGAGGGTATAAGCTTCCTTTACTTGTTCGTGACATCAGCCTCATAGTTTCAGTGCAAAAGTAAAGAAGCAAACTTGAGACACCAGTCTTGCCTGAGTCTGCCTTGTCCAAAGGAATGATTAGAAAATAAGCTAAACATACAAAAACTGACCCTATACCAACAGAGAATATGATGCAGAGAGTATATTAAAGTAAACATAAAATATACTCTTACACTGAACAGATTACTAGTAATAGTTAACTCCAGCAACGTTACCACTGTTGCTGTTCTGTCTTATCCCTGATGAAGTAAAGCACAGATAACCACAGAGTTTATGACAACTAAATGATCTGAACTAGCTCTTCTCAGACAGAACTTTTCTTTCAGAGTTTATAAGATTTTGGCTGGTTTTGGTTCAGGCCTTTTTTATATGTTTGTGTTCATGTTTATCATGGGGACTACACTAGTAGTTCCTAACTTTGATGACTACTGTTACTACTTACTTTTGTCCCACTTAAGAATGATCATTACTAATTCAAAGCTGGCTTGCTGACTTAAAAACATGTCTAGAATAGGCTCCCTTGGTAAAGATTACGAGTTTATGAGTATATTTGAGTAAATGAGTATGAGTAAAATTATGAGATTATGAGTAAATGTATGTTCTTTAGCAGTGTTTTGTGAAAAATGTTTTCTATAATTTCTGTGATTTCTATAGTTTTACTTCACCAAAAGCTAAAATTTCTCTCAGATGTTTGGTGTAAGCTGACAAACAACAAAAAAATTTTTTTTTTGCTATTTTGTTTTTACCAAGGAAGCCTATAAAGGCCCCTTCTGTGTGGATGCTCTGATGGGAGAATACATTAAGAAATGCTTGTGTGTGAGTATGTATCTGTATGTGTATTAGGAGCTTGTGTGTGGACGCCCTGATTGAGCTCTCAGATGAGAATGCTGATTGGAAACTGAGTTTTGATGAGTTTCTCAACTGCCTCAAGCCTAGTTTCAACCCTCCAGAGAAGAGTAAGCTACCTACTGTCTTTATCTGTTGTATATTTGTTGTGATTTTATTAGGACTCAATCACTTATTTATAAAGATTGTGATGATATTCTTCTTGATAAATTATTAGTTGACAGTTTGCATGATGGTAATGCATATGAATTCAAAACTTTTTTTTGTTTGACCTTTTTTAAATATCTGATTTTTCAGATAGATATAACAATTGGTAGATTAATTCAACCAATGTGTAAGATTCCACCCTATCCATATTTTCAAGATTGATCCTAAATCTGCTCTTAAAGATTAATGTTCAGTACAAATACAGTGCTGTGAAAAAGTATTTCTTCTATTTTTGCTAATTTGTCACATTTAAATGTTTCAGATCATCCAAATAATTTTACTGTAAGATAAAGACAACAAGAGTAAACTTAAACCGCAGCTTTTAAATGATCACTGCATTTATTGAAGATGATTTATTCAAAACCTGTATCACCCATGTTAAAAATAACTGTTTGTGCCACCCTTGGCAGTAACAACGTTTGCGATAACTTGTCATGAGTCTCTTACATCCCTGTGGAGGAATTTTGGCCCACTTCAGGTCCTGCAGAGTCAAAGCAGCCCCAGACCATCACACTACCACCACTATGTTTGACTGTTGGTATGATGTTCTTATGGTGGAACGTGGTGTTAGCTCTATGCCAGATGTAATGGGACCCATGTCGTCCAAAAATTTCCACCTTTGACTCACCGAATATTAGCCCAAGTGTCTTGGGGGTTATCTAGATGCTTTTTGCCAAAACATGACGAAGGCTTTGTGTTCTCTTTGGTCAGCAGTGGTTCGCGCCTTGCAACTCCCCCATGGATGCCATTTTAGCCCAGTGCCTTTCTTATTGTGGAATCATGTGCATTGACCTTAATTGAGGCAAATGAGGCCTTCAATTCTTTAGATGCTCATCTGGGTTCTTTTGTCACCTCCTGGATGAGTTGTTGATGCACTCTTGGTGAAATTTTGGTAGGTCAGCCACTTCTGGGAAGGTTCACCACTGCTCCAAGGATAATGTCTCTCACTGTGGTTCGCTGGAGTCCCAGAGCCTTAGCAATTGCTTTGTAACCCTTTGTAACTGATTTCAATGACAGTTTCACATCTGTATTTGAATCTCTTTAGAACGTGGCATCATGTGCTGCTTTTTGAGACCTTCTAGGCTGTTGCACGTTGCCAGTCAGGTTCTTTTTAAGTGATGTTTAGATTCAACAGCTCTAGCAGTAATCATGCCTGCGTGTGGGTAGTGAAATTAAACCCAAATGTCAACTGAATTTGGTTAACTGGTTGACTTAGTAGCTAAGGGGGCAATTACTTTTTTCACATAGGACCAGGTAGGGCTGAACAGCATTTTTCCTTCAATAAATGAAATCATTATTTAAAAAAGCATTTTGTATTTACTTGGGTTATTATAAGTAATTAGATGATCTGAAACATTCAGATGTGACAAATACACAAAAATAGAAGAAAATGAGAAGGGGGCAAAGACTTTTTCATTGCACTGTAAATACAGACCATGCTCTCATGAGTGAGACAAACAGAAGTAGGTACGTGGTTATGGCTGAATACAGATTTGTACATAATATACAGTACATTATATTTGCTTAAATGGTGTGCTACCAGTGGTCATTTCCTAAGTGAATTCTGGCCTTAAAGTTTAAATTTTGGAATTTACCCTAAGTGAGCTGCATAAAATCTTTTCAGGGAAATATTTAATATTAAGTGGAAAATTAAAAAATAATTGTAAATTAAGTTTTAAACCCTAAGTTTACATTCCAACACAAAGTTCTGTCAATGGCAAAATTCAAATTTAAATATGAAATGTAAATTTATAGATTTACATTTATGTCTGAAGCATTTAATGTAAGATAAATACTTAAGATGTTTTTTATGCAAGTGGCCACAGATTTATACAGTCATATGTCAGCTTGGCGCTTTTGACCAAATGACATGTTTTGTTGATTTTCTAAGTGAAAACAAGTTAACGCATCCTCTACAGAGAACACACTTCTGCACATTTTTAAAATGTGGTCTCTATAAAAGTTATAGTACATTTTATATTTTATTTTTACCCAATATGTTAAACTCCAAGAGTAAACAGAAATTGGGCAATACAGTTTGCAGAAAAAGCGCCAGAGGTGTTCACTTACTTTAACTTTGAAAAACAACATGTAATTTGTACTCAGAATGATTATAGCAGAGTGAAACCAATAATGATGATATTTGTTGTTGTGCTGCAACAGAGTGTGCTCTGGAGGATGAGACGTACGAGGATGGAGCTGAGACGCAGGTGGATTGCAACCGCTGTGTGTGTGCCTGTGGGAACTGGGTCTGCACTGCTGTGACCTGTGACGGTTAGTGGATGCACTGATCAGACACCAGTTTGCCTTCTTATTCTCGTTTTCTCGCCAAGTGACTGGAAAGCTGATTCTAGATCACCGAATTTTACTTTTCGTATTATAACACTCTGTTTCTCCCTCTCTCTCTCTCTGTCTGTCTGTCTGTGGCTCTATCTACGTCCTTTTCTTTCTAGGTTCAGAAAAGTTGCCTGCTGTGGAAGAAATTGAGGAAGCAGATCAGGAGATGACGGAGGAAGAGTGGACTCGCAGAGTGGATGAGCTCAACAAACATCAGGTCAAGACTGTTTTCAATTTCAAGGGCTTAGAACCAAACCTTTACAGGAGGACCAAACAAAAAATGATCATAGTTACGTATTGATGAAAAATTAGAAACTGAACTTTCAACAGAGCGTCTCTGCTTGTTTCAATGAGCCATGAGTGAGAAATAATTGTACTGACTTACACCATGCTACATCAACTGCTCAGTGTTAAGGAGACCATGTTCTGCGTTTTTCCTGTATTTTTTCCTTCGGAGGCCCACTTATGACATTTGTGTGGTTTTATGTACTAACAACATTAAATTATTTATACATGACCATTTTTAAACCTCCCTTTATCCCTAATAATTAAACAGATTGTTTTTGTTACTATGCCTTTAAGACTGATATTTGTAAATAAGGTCTGTTCTGATTGGCTGCCATGTTGTACCCCACTCAAAAAACAATATAGGCTGAAATGCTCCTTATAAAGTCAACATTACTAGACAAATATATGAAAATGCATTGTTTTTTGTCCTTACCTTCTGCATCAAACTCTTTTATTAAAGAATCAAAAAGTAACTTCCATGATATGTGGCCTTTCATTATATTACAGATGACCGTGTTTGTTTGGAAGGGGTGGTAGACTCTATAGTGCACTATACATGAGACGTGTAGGCTAATTCTGTTTTTATGTAATTAAATTATTTATGTACTTTTTTCCCTTTTCTTCCTTTAGGAAACTGTGGAGAAGATGAAAGTGAGCACTAAGGAGGTTTAAGAAAAGAGAGATGATCCAAAAAACAGAAGAATGACTGCAGCAAGTCCTCAACTCCTTTTCAGTCTGCTGTAGACTGGATCTGTACTGTCCACTAGCAAAAAAGTGGTCTTTCTATATATTGTTTTATATCATTGTTTTAATTATTCTTATTTTCATTTAGTACTGTTTTGATATTTTGAATGTGGATACTGTGTAATAGGCCTACTGTCTGTTTACTCAGACTGCTTTTGAAAAAGTTTTACTTTTTAAATTGTGTTGGATGTTTCCATCATGAGGCTTAGCATTAACAGGAAATTTTGGTGAATGCGTGGTTGAACTTGAACTAATGGCTATCAGCCAAAGCACAGTGCTGATGTAGGATCCATATGCACTGACAAAGCACGAATGAAACTGTTACACCAAGGTAATTAAGCTTCTTATCAGATGACAAGTTACTGTGTATTTTTTCTTTTTACACCTGACATCAATATACAACCAATCAGTCATGCCACAGGCTTAACCTCATAGAAGGGTGAAATATCTGTCTTAACACACCAATTCATCTATCAAGTCATATACCTTATTGGAGAATATTGTGGATCATTTGCTCACTTGCAGTCAAACTCAGTGATATCTTGTTGGTTTCAACATGTATAAACTACAAGATCTACTGCTGAAGATTTAGTAATATTCTTGCAGGTTGATAAGCATGAGTTTTGGTACTGTTTATGCGGATTATTTAGTAATTAATGGATATTATTCCAGACTAGCTATTGAACTACAATGATTAATCAGTAGTTCTGGCTTCTGGGCAGGCCTTACCCACAAAAAAATCATGTTAAGTGCCAGTAATTCTCTATGTATACAACACACTACAATACAGTATGCTCCACTCTTCTGAACCTGAATATATTTCCCTCATATTCTCATTTTTTAAGACATTCTGGTGAACTGCCTGCATTTACTCATTAATTTTAACAGCCTATTGTTGTCTTAGAGCACACCTGGCATACTCGTGCCAATAAAATGAGTACTGTATCAAAAACATCCAAAGATTTCTTGTATGACTGTTTTGTTTCTGTTTTCATTCACACAACAGATGTAATAAATATAGATACAGGCAGCAATCATCAACATAAGACAAACTAAAGAAAAAAAAATATCTTAAGAGGTGTTGGGCATCCACAGGCCAGAACAGCTTCAATTAACTGAAGCATAAGTTCTGTAAGTCTCTGGAACTGTACTAGAAGGATGGAACAACATTCTTCCTAAAGATATTCCCTTAGGTGGTGTTTCGATGATGGTGGTGGAGAGCACTAATACATCAGTCCAAAATATGTTATTAGTGTTAAACTGGGTTGAGATGTGGTGACTGTGAAGCCCATAGCATATGATTTACAACGTTTAAATACTCATTAAAACCATTCAGTGACCCCTCGTGCCCTGTGGGTGGGCACGCTTATCCTGGAAGAGACCATTACCATCAGGATAGAAATGTTTCCTCATAGGATGAAGGTGATCAGTCAGAATATCTTTTGTATTACTTTGCAGTAGCCCATCTCTGTAAGGCAGCAAGTGGCCCCAACCATGCTAGCAAAATGCCCCCCACAGCATAGCAGAGCAGCTGGACCCCCTCAGTGTAGGAGTCAAGCATCCAGGCCTCTATCATTCTGTTGGTGTACCCCACACAATCTCCCATCATTTTTTCCTCTTCGCTATAGACCAGCGTCTATGATTTTTATACCACTGAACTCTCAAATGTACATTCGTCTTCGTAACGAGGGCTTTATGCACTGCAACCCTCCTATAATATCCCTCTCTGTGTAGATGTGGATGGTCTGTTCCTGTCCTACATTGTCAATTTCAGTCACACAAAGAAACAGTTGCTTGTTTATCATTACATATCACACTAATGCACAACCATCACAGTCACTAAATGTGTGCTTTCAGCCACAATTTAAACCCTTTTTACTTATGCGTTTCCCCATAGATATAAATGCATATGTCACTGTTCCTACTGAAACACTGGCCAGTTGAGCTATGCTTTGCTAATCGTCCCCTGCCCAGTGCATCCCACAATGAAAGTGTTTTGTAAGGATGTGAAGTTACAGCAGTAGAGAATTTCATAAGGGTCTTATGTGACAACAAGAACCTACTGGTGCACTCTGTTCTTATATATTACTTATATAATTCTTATATATTTTTATTGCTACTACTAGTAGTAATGATAATGGTAACAATATAGGCACTCCACTTTAGATAAGCTTTATAAGCTGATTTATTATTAGGCTAGATTCAGGTATTGCAGGCCATTAGGTCATATGATACAGTGTGTTCGATGGGCCTGAATGATAAAGCCAATCTTCTATCTAACCGCCCAATAAAAGTGACTTCTAGATATTTAATTGGTCTCTTTGCAATAGTTACTTCACCATGTTCATTTAATTAACAGTTTATTAATGGCTAATTGAGGCTTATAGACAGGACCCTTTACAGTTACTATTATTTTGTATATTTGCACATTTAGAAAGGATAAACTGGAACAAACGAGAGTTTCTTAGAGGCTGCCCTATGATCTGACAGCCCAGAATACCTGAATGAAACCTAATAAAATAATACATGAGCTTGTAAAACTCCCACACTGAAACTGTCTCACAGTGCTGCGCAGATCCAGCAGTGAGGAGTTGCATAAGGTCCTCATGAGCCTTTGCCCTTATATTCGCTGTGGCTCCACCCAAAGCTCTGCAGGCCCGTATAAAAGGCCTGTACTGCACTTTTTTGCCCTAAAATGCACAAACACTGGAGCAGAAGGATCTCAACAGCTGTATAATGTGACTACTGACCCCATCTGACACCGTATGATGCTCTATCATCGCTGCACCTCTGCTGCCTCCAACACTCTGCCTGTCGCAACAGCTGTTATTATTCCTGGCTTTTAAAACATGGAGCTTTTCCCTAGAATAACTAAAGGCGACCCTGTTTTAATCCTGTCGCGTCTACAGCTGCGTGACCTGAACCTGGATCATGTTGGAGAAGAACAGAAGAGGCAAATTCAGCAGCTTTACCTCACTTATAACAGTTTCTCGCTTTTCCCCACCTCCATCTGCCTACTCCCAAACCTGGAGCACCTGGACCTGAGCAACAACTACCTCACAGCTATGCCTGAGGACATTACACTGTTAGCAAACCTAAAAACTCTGGTGGCCAAGAATAATCATCTCGACGAGACGTCCTTCCCCAAGCACTTTGGCTCCATGCACATTGAAAGCCTGAATCTGAGCGGGAACCGATTCAGGGAGATACCGAGGCAGTTCCTGAAGCTCAGCAGGCTGCTGTCACTGTCCCTGGGTGGAAACAGGTTAAAGAGCATCCCTGCAGAGATAGAAAACCTGAATAGGTAAGGTCATTTACTACACCACTTTCTGTCTTGTTGAATTTACCGTAGTAAGTAAGCCAGCTGTCTACCAAGTGTGGATGAACTTGGCCAAGAGCACCAGTCATTAACAGATAGACTAGCCAAAACCAACACTGAGGTAAAAATAATGTTACTTTGGTGAAATAGAACCTCTAGTAGACATAAAACTACCTTTCCAATAAAACCTACTTGAGTAGAAGTACAAAAGTACTGCAGCACAATGTCTTAATACAACCAGCATCTGTCAGTATAGAAACTGAAGTTTGTTAGGCCTTGTTCTTTTTTTGATGGATACTTGGACTAAAATAAAATGACAGGCCTCAAAAGTGAGAGATGTTACCATCTGCAAAAGACCACACACGCTGTCTCTGACGAAGTATAATGAAATAAAACACCAAAATAAACTAGTAACTAAATTCTAACGTCTAAAATATGTAAACAGTAGACTCCTCACAAACATAACTTACTTTAATAGATAAAAGGCTTCATTTGAAAATACTAATACTAAGTTCAACTAACCTATACATCCAACTAAGGAAAGTGTACGTGGTTACTTCCTGATTATGGTTATAAATCACTTAAAATAGTTGTCGGGTTTCAGTTTCCTTTCATACGCAAACAGACTATTATTTTGTATAATGTAATGTTGGTAACCTCGCCGACAGCTAAACCGTTAAGGATATCAGCACTGTCAGCACTGTTTCGTGCAAGATACATGTTTCTGCATCTAAACATTAAGTTTATTCATTGTATTTTTGTGTAATGTTCTGTTTTAGGCAGTAATTTTCCAACTTGCATCTTTCCGCTACATCTTCTAGCTAGCTAACTACTTGCCGCTCTCGTTGCCTGGGCGTTCTGGGCGCAATGTATTATGGGCTTTGTAGTTTTTGCGGCGCGTGTTCACCGCAATTCTGCGTTGAAAGTTTTGCTTTGAAACTACAACATAAAATTGAACAGCAAGCTTAGGAACTCAAATATTTTTTAACGTAATGTCGAGCTGATATGTTAACCGAACTGTTGGTGTTCCATTTAAAGCAAAAAATTAGCTTTAGCACATGTTCGTAGAAACTATACTGCAAGCTTAACCTGTTTTTACAACCAACGTTCAATTCATACTTCACTGTGAGTAAATGAGCATTTCGCTTTCAGGGATAATAGTGAGGTCACAGAGGCTCATATGTATAGTCTATGTAGGCTACCTATAGAGCTGAATCCTAGTGTTGAGGATCCTATTCACTGCACATTTCTGTATTTCGCTGCTCTAATACTCCCAGTTCAACTCAAAACTCAGTAATTAGTAAATCTACTTATTAAGGGTAAAAATATGAAAGTGTCTACAGGCCTTAATCCCCAGGCAATGAAATAAGCAGAATGTTAATGAAATAAACACTGTTGAGCAGAAGTAGAGCAGTGACCTTATTCAAGTCATTTTTCTAGCAGGTTAAATAGTAACATAAGCATGACAAAGCATATTTACTGCTGTCTGGATTTCTACTGGCATTCATGGTCGTTTCATTGGCCAAGGGCCAAAGAAGATGTGTGGCACAGCTGGGATTGAAATTCCGTTCCCAGCAGCAGGGTTATCTCGACACCTCCAAGCAGTGTGTTTTTCCATTGCCGTAACCAATCAATGGCTTTCTCTGTGATGCAAGTTAATACTGTTAATACGGTTAATACGTGATTATATCTGCATTTACTGTGCTATTGATTAGAGTGGCTCAATATATTATATGTTAGTCATTTTTACAGTACTGATCTCTGCAAAATTACATCACGAAAAGGTGCAATATGACAGTCTGTCTGGACATAGGCCAAAATCAAGAAGTTCTAAATATAACAACAATATATCAACAAATTTATTATGACAGATTATATATTTATTTAAGTGTCTTGTGAACATTAAAATTAAAACCAGTCTTTAATGCATCTTAATGCACACTGCAACCATAATATGTAGTCCTTTTTTTCATTTTGAAAAAACACAATCCAGTGCATTTGGTGCAAAAGTAAGCAAAAGCAGTCATTACAAAAGCAGAGGCAATATTGATTCATAAGTTGCCGAACCCTTGAATTTATCTGGACCTGTAAGCTATAAATAGATCTCAGAGTTTCAAAATACATCTGCTGAATTTTGACCTCTTTTTTCCACGTCTTACTTTCATTTAACTTCTGAATGTAATTACTGACATTCAGATTTAAAGAAGTCATATAATATGGAAAACCAAATTTTCTTTGCTTGTCATTGTTATAGTTGCCATTAAAATGTAACACTCACTCGTATTTTTCCCATTGCCTAGGCTACATGTGAACTAAGCTGCAAAAAAACAGCCAGTTTTGAATTCATGTGATTTTGAAACCATGAAAACATTAACATTTGGTCTCCTCTTCAGCCTACAGCTATTAGCCCCTATTAACAAAGAAGTGATAAGGAGTGTTGTTACTGCAGACAGGCTGTAGCAGAGTTATTAAATAAAAACATTGTGCTGACTGTCAGGACAAAAATGTAGCATTGCAGTCTCCCAGAGGACCCACACATCCGAAAGTGGGTAAAGTTTATTTTTTTCCCACTTCCCCATTTTGAGGATTTTAGTCCAAATTTAACAATTTGTTTCACATTTCACACTGGAATAAAGGATTAAGAACAGATGGGGAAAATGGTCATGAGAAAGTGGTCATGAGTTCAATCATGTTGATTATGTGATATAAACCACAAAGAAAAACATGTTCTGTACTGCAGATGTGGAAAAACATAATCATGACTGTATTATTGACCATGTGAGGTAACCTGTTTTTTACCCTGTGTTGTTTGGTTGGCTGCAGGCTGGAGATGCTGTATCTGGGTGGGAACATGATCTCTTCCATCCCCCCTGAACTGGCCAACCTGCGCTGCCTCAGATACCTGGTACTGTGTGATAACTGCATCCAGAGCATTCCTCCACAGCTCAGCAGGTGACTCCTCAGAACAAAAGATTTACTCCACTTGCCTGCCTGTGATATGAGAAGAGATTATTCCAATATTTTTTCCTCAGTCCCCCAACCACCATTTTACTTCATTTTAAAAAAATGGTAGTGTCTTCCCTTAAATGTAATGAAATATTCTCCAACATTGAACATTTGTATTATGGTAAAACCTGCTGAAGAACAGAACACATGTAATCTTATATGCTAGTTATCAAGTTAATAGGTAAATAATGACTACTTCATAAAGTTTATTTAGTCAATGCACTAAAAAACTTATTCATAACTCACACAGTCATCTGAGGATGTGATGTTGTAGAACTGATTTTATGTACACCATTTTAAACCTGGAACAGGATGCAGTCCTGTAAAAACTTACATTTTTACATTGTCTCACTTTTGAAACATGCAATTCACACACAAAAAGTCATTTTTAAAAAGCTGTGGCATATTTTTCCAAGATTCTGGCTGTTAAAGGGGAGTTCCACCAATATTTTAAAATTTCTCCATAATTCAGTCACTGAGATGTATCCAGAGTGGTTTGATGTGAAATGGTTCATTGTAGCAAAACGTACTGACTCAGGTTTTGTTACAGTGGTGGTGATATGAACCCAGGAGTCATAATGCAAGTACTGCCATTTTATTTTCTATCCAAACAAACAGTAAACCTACACATTTCATATGAGTGTTATATGCCATGCTGACAATGATAATATACTGGCAAATCTGAAATAAGCTATCAAAAAATAAGTTTTCTTTTGGTCTTTTAGACCAAAATTGTGTCTAAAACAATTGTTATTTCAGGCATCAGGCAACGTATTCATAACCATTTCCTTTAATAACTTTCTGTGAGGGAGCTTTTAGAAGCATTAAATGCTTGAGACATCTGGTTCCTATCACCATCACTGTGAACAGTTCTGGCTTAGAACGGAGTATTTCACATCAAACCACAGTGTATGGACAGTGTATGGATGTTTATGTCTTTAATGTAATTAAAGATTTCATTGTTGAGAATAGTTTCTTAATAGTTGAAATTTCACTTTTAACAGGGAAAATGCGATGTAATGTAAAAGAATATACATACGTATTAATGGAAATCACAAAGAGTCATAATAAAATTGTATTGTGACTCCAAATATCTGTGCTGTATAATTTCACCATTAACAAATAATGTAACTGTTTTATTTGTTGTTGTTTTATTATTTTTATTATTGTATTTTTACTTTACAGACTTCACTCCTTGATGTCTCTCAGTCTCCATAACAACCTCCTGACATTCCTCCCTCGGGAGATCCTTAGTCTAGTCCACCTGCAGGAGCTTAGTCTCCGTGGCAACCCGCTGGTGGTACGCTTCATCAAGGACATGACCTATGACCCTCCATCCCTGCTTGAGTTGGCTGGTCGGACCATCAAATCCCGGAACCTTCCGTACCTCCCAAGTGACCTGCCGGCCAACCTGTGCCGCTACCTTGACATGGCCAGCAAGTGTCCTAACCCCAAATGCGCAGGTAAGAGAGCAAAAGAGGGAGGCCGGACTGAAAGACGGATATGTGTGCAACATCACTTTTGGTTCCCTAAAGAACTTTTTAATGAATGTGTCCAGGGAACGATTTTTGTAAATGAGGTATGAGAGGGCAGAGCTTTTTTAGAGTTTAAAGATCATCCTTATAATGTAAAGGTTCTAGAAATAACCCTCTAAATTGCAAACCCTTTTAGTTCAATCCAGAAATTCATAATCTACAGTAGCCTGTCTTCCGTGGCCTGTAGGTGGAGCTATTCAGTAGAGTCTCCATGCAGTCGACAAAATTATATTCTCTGTGTTTAATAATGTATATGACTTTGTAGCACCACTCTTATGACCACGTTGGGGCCTCCAAGGGGGTTGTGACCCTCAGATTAAGAAGCACTGGTTTAATTTAATCATGTAATATACAGTGTAGACTGAGTGTCTTCAAGCCTTGGCACACTAAGCTGATGCCTACTTGCCTGTTCTTGTCATCTATCTCCAGGTGTGTACTTTGACTCGTGTGTGCGGCACATCAAGTTTGTGGACTTCTGTGGCAAGTTCCGCCTGCCCCTCATGCACTACCTCTGCTCCCCAGAATGCAGCTCTCCCTGCAGCTCCAATCCACAAAGTGACGCTGAGTCGGAAGACGAGAACAGCGTTTCTGTGGACAGGCTGCAGAGGGTGCTTTTGGGATAGCCTGGTCTTCCAATTACACAAGGACTTTATGCTACATCTTGCCCCATTATGCAGATCTCTGAGCAGTCTTTTAATCACTTGGAGGAAAAATGGTCCTGAACCAACATGAAATGGGAACACGTTTACCAGTGTTCTGATAAGAGCATTGATAAAGTACAAGTACATTTGAGTCAAGAACGCCTTTAGTTAGCAAGCTGAACTAGGTCTGAAAAAAAACCTAATGACATTTCATTGGCTAACAATGAACTAGTTACCTAGCTAGTCAACTAAAACAACACTGGAAATAAACAGTTTATGATATTATTCATTAGCTAGCCGATTAACTATTTGGCTTGCTTGTTAACTAAGAGTCAGCTAAAACTACATTGGAACTACATTTATGTTATTATTTATTAGCTACTTAACTAGTTAGCTAGCAAAATTAACTAGCTAGTTGACTAAGTCACCTACTACCTAGAAAATAAGAAGTGCTTTATGATAATTCATACAATTCAAATGCAAGTTTTAAAAACTGCGCACATGTATATTCAGAGAGATGCTTCCTCTACAATTGCTGAAAATCTGACAATTATATTAGGTGTTTCTACTGTAAGTGAAAAGGAACCTTGAGTGGTTACTCTTTAACTGAGCCCTTCTGTTCACATTTTGGCAGAACTCTGTACAAAGGTTACAGACTTTGTTGACTCACTAGTCAAACTGTCTACCGGTGATACAGTTATTTTCATTTAAAAAGAGCACAAACCCTGAAGCTCCAATGACAAAATGCTGAAACAACATCTTGGACATCCCTGTACTACCTCTGAGCTAGCTACAGTGTTTTAGTGGGGACATTATTATTGGAAGTGGCTTTTCTCTGCCATACTTAAACTGCCATGCAAGCTGAATGGACTTTGACTATGACTTTTATTGAGACCCTTTCCTTCTTTTACTCTTTTTTAAAATATATAACAAAATCACCCTGGTCTGTCTGGTATAACGTTACAAAGACCACTGCTTACATCTGATTTACATATTGTATTGGCAGGTTTCGGCCTGCACAACTTTTTTTGACAAGACTGCACGCACAATAATAACTTCTCATCAAATTCATGACAGCCTAGTAATGTAGTTTAAAACTGGTAATAAAGCAGAGATCCAGCACTTTGTGGCATGGGGCATTAGTTTTGTCTGTGAGTGAGCTCTATATTCTATAAAAGTTGTCAGATTGCCTGGTTGCCTTGTCTCTTGCCAGGATCTGTGAGTTTGTGTTAGGTGTCATATAAATTAATCACACCATCAGGTCACCTCATTTGTTGCCAGACTTTATCATATGCTGTAATTAGCTTGTATAGATTTAGGGCCAGATATGACACTGATTGTTGTAAAGCTTTGTGTCAATGAGTTGAAAGCTAATATTTGACAGCCTACGTGGAGCACGGTGTCACTGTATCTCAGCATTACATAGCAAAAAAATGAAGGAACTTCACTTGCAGGAGTGAGGCTTAGGCCAACTTCATCTTTCCTACAAAATATTGTAAAGGGAATTCCAAAGAAATGCCACCTTCACATTTTTTTACACAATACAATGTCTTGCAATTACATTATAGTGCATTGCTTCTCATGAATATACTGCTCACATGTTTATATTATAACAACACAGTTCTATTTTCAATTTCTCAGTAGGGACACACTTTCAGTTTATGCACCAGCCCTCTTCCCATGTTGAAACAACAGAAAATCATATCAATCTCCAATACATACGTAATGTTGTTTACTCTGAAAGCAATTCTTCTTCTACTCTGATTGTCACTGTGATGAGATCTTCTAATAAAACGACTCTGGGTGAACTAGAATCACAATTTATTCTTTTGAAATGACCTTAATAAAGAAAGTTATGCAATACTGTTGTAAATTAAACCAAATGTTGCATGTGAAAATGTGACTGCCAGTTTTGGCCTCTTCTCACCTATACTATCAGGTTCTCTGTGGCTTAGTGCACTTAATAGAGAACATGACCACCACAGGACCACCGCTGACCAATTATTATACAGGTCATGGAACATTCTCGGTACAGCAGAGACATTGACAAGGTAGTGGTATGGTAGAGCGTGTAATGCTAGTATGAATGTGTAAGTCACAGTGATGTGGTTGTGGTTTTATACACCACAATGTCACAGCTGGGCTAAGCATAGGCCACCAGCAAAAAACATCCAGCCAACAGTGCTTCTGTGGCCAGAAATTGACTAGACAATGAAAGACTAGAAGATGAGCAACACAAATGTGCATGAAAAGAGCTATAGTCTCTTACCACAAGGGATACCAACAAGGTGTTTCTAATGAGGTGAACTATAAATGTGCAGTGTTTAAAACTCTCTGCTGTGCTGAGAATGGTCCACTATCCAACTACTATCTGGTTAGCGTTGGCCCTATGGTGGTCCTTTTCTAATTTTAAACGGGTGAGATGGAAGCTAGACAGACGGGATACTGTCAGTAATTACAAACCTACAAAATGCACCTTTAAGGTAAGTGTTTGTGTTATTTTGTACACCCTCTGTACACAAAAATAAAGAATTAATACTTTTTGGCCAGGTAAGTAATTATGCTGCTGTAAATGACATTCATTATACATTTTGACCTGTGTTGGAATATATAATTTAATAGATTTTCTTTATTAGACACTGAAAACTAAGTCAGGTGTCCATATGTTTTGGGTACCCTCCAATGAATCTTTCCTACCTGCTCGCCTGGATTTTGCCTAATCTGGAAGCCATGCGCTAGTCAGCTCTTTCAGTATATTTAGTGATGCCGTGGGCTACAGATCAGACGACAAAGAAAAACAAAAGAAAAGGTAGTTTTATCAGAGCTGGTTTAAGCAGAGCCTGGCTGTTTTCTATTTCTCCCGTTATAAATGACTAAAAATGTTAAAATAATAATAATAAAAAAAAGTTAAAATAATGTCTATCGACTTGTCCAGGATCTTCCCTTAATTTTGGAAAGCAGAAAGACGTATTTTACTAAAAAAGCAAAGAAAACTCACCAGTATATTTCTTTTTTTCACAGCAGGTTTTGGGCAGTAGGACGCTGGCATTACTGCTACTGAGTGCTAATTGGTTGGTGAGCTGATCACCTCATACAGCGGTTGGTGCTCACTGACATCAGTGACACACATGAGGCACCATAAAGTCCCTTAACTGGAGTTCAAAAGCGCGCAAAAATGTAACAGCAGGGTTAAAATGTCTTCTGCTGTGCTGTGTTCAGGAAATTAAGGCATTCTTCTATATAAAAACGTCTAAGCAGTTAAAAACTATTATTTTGCTCAAATGCTCCATATTAATCCATTCATGTTGGACTCGCTGGACAGCGCCCTCCGGCGTTAAACAAGCCCGGAAAACAGTCCTGAGTGGCAGCTCTCTCTGGTTTTATTTATGTATTCATGTATTCGGGCGCAGTCTTCGTTTAGGCCTGCAGCGCTGTAATGTTAGACCGCCATCTACTGGTGCGAAACCACTCCAACCTACTCCTCTTCAGTCCCCGTGACTGCATCTCCTTATACCACCACAGCACCATCGGTCTCCACAGCGGTTATTGAGGTGGTAGCGGAGAACTTGTAGAGAGATAACTCATAATTTATAATCCGGCTCTGGTAGTAGTTAATGAATGTATTCATTATAGTATCGACTCTTTTTGTTCTGGTAGTTTTTTCATTATGTGTGACTGTCACAACCCCTCCAGGGCGATAGATGGCAGTAAGTACAGTCAGTTTGAGCGCGAACTTGCTTTGGTTTTGTTTGGCTTGCTGCTAACTGTGCTGGCTGGCTGTGTCTTTGAGGCAGTTAACTAAGCTGGTGGTAACGGGGGGCTGATTTTGGAGGAATTTGAAGGAAGGAGGATTTGTTCACTGAAGTCCCCTGTATGATATTTAAATAGTGAAGGCGCAGGTAACGTTACTTAACCGTTAGCTGGTTATTTTAGCTGGGTCACCTGGTTAACTAACCTAACCTACCTGCCGGTGGTGTTGATGTGATGTGTTTGCTGGGCAGCAGTAAAACCTGAGTCGTGTTATTCTGGATTCACCTAGACAGCGATAAACGAGTATCATCATTATCAGTCGCAATAAGTAAACAAATATATTCAGTTTAAACCCAACCACACATTTTTTCGATGGCAGGCTAACCTAGCTGATTTGAGATATTTGCTAACTAGCTGGCTGGCTAACTGGAAAGTTCACAGAAAGAAGGCATTTCCATTTTAATGTGTTTGTAAATTCCCAAATGTACTGAATGTGATTCTTCGATATGATGAAAGTCACTTGACGGCCTCATATATTGATTACCTGGCGTGGTGGATCTTACTAGCCAAGAGTTTGCAGTCTCTCCTTTGCTGGAGTTGAGCACTGTAAGGTCACTGTTGTGTTCACCAGCTGATATGTCACTGTTGGATATGAGAAACTGGTTCACAGGTTCTCATGTCCGGACTTTGAGGATTCAGCTGCTCTCAGGACTGTCAGATTAATCGTTTTTATGTTGAAATCGCAATTTGAAAGAGTGCAATTTGTGTTCTATAATACATTATAAATAGTGTTGTCTGAAGTTTGAAATTGAAAAAAATGTAACCTAATAACACAGAGCTTGTGAGCTGCCTGTAGATCAGTTAGATCAGCCAGAGGCAATTGCTCAATATGTGACAAGACAACTAACTGGTAGTCTTGTGCACTCAGTGTTCAAGCGTGGATACCCTGGTCTTCTTGGCCAAAAAACAGGCCTGGAAATGAATTCATAGAAAATAATTGCATTTAAATCACAATCACAGTATTGGTGAGAAAAAAAGATATTTTCCCCAAATCGTTCAGCTCTAGCTCCACAATTTTGTTCTGTTCTAGCCTACAATGCGCCTGAGTGGAGTAATCAAAGGATAATTCCACCACTTTTTGTACATAATCCAGCCGTTGATATGTAATCGAAGGAACTCAGAGTGATTAGATGTGAAATGATGAATTGTAGGAAAAAAAAGGTAGAACATTGAGGAAGTGCTGATAGGACCAGCCCTCTACAATGCAAATACAGGCATTTTATTTAGCGTCCAAAACAACCAGTGAACTGACACGTGTTCTGTGTTTTAAGATGGAATGTTAATCAAGATCAAATAGAGATAATCAGAGAAAACCTTGTTTTCTTTTGGGATTGTTTTACAGTGCCCTGCATGTACCTCTCTACCATGACTGGATATTAAGAAATATATTTCAGGCCAAAACCTTATCGCAAAAAAACTGTTGTTAAACAGTGTCTCAGGCATTGCGAGGTAGCATGTGAAGTGTGAACAATTCTGATTTGGTAAGTTTCTCTAGAACAGAGCATTTCACATCAGACCACTCTGATATTGTTTACACCCTAATTTATTTATGCTGAAATTTTGAAAATTGAGTGAGATTTCATTGTGGAAGTCTTTGAGAACATGATTTCTTTCACCTCAACTAAAAATATCTCTTGTCTTTGGTGGAACTTTGGCTGAAGTTCAGTTTTTAGCAGTGGAACAGACAAACCGTCAAATCCACTATCTCTAATTTGGATTTATTCACTCGCTTGGAATTTTTCGATATAACTGGGTAATCCTGCAGGGTTTTTCCATCTGTTGATGACAGTATACAAGCAAAATCAGGAGAAACTTAGTGTTATATTGTGTAAAAGATGGCAATAAGGTTTGAATTAACAGTTTTCGATGCGTGGAAGGTCGTTTTGATTGTGTTCAGTGATATTCTAAGATTATTTCTGTATTTGTGTTGGTAGATGCTGATCTTTTGCCATCTTTTGTTTGAGGGGTCAGTTTGTCCTTTTGGAATTAATGCACCATGGCCAATGATCAAGGCAGTGCTGAAGATGAACCTCCATCGCTGTTGTGGGGACTGGACCCTGTGTTTTCTGCCTATGCCAGGCTTTATATTAAAGACATACTACAAATGAGGGAGTCTCGACAAGTTCCAGGTAAAGTAAATGTTTCCAAAGTTTTCGCATGTCTTAAAATGTTGATTGAACAGTGTTGTCTCCATTCTATGGGGAACCTGTGGGGTGAATGTTTTGATTAAAGGAGGGGTCAGTAAAAAATACGGGGTTTTACTGAGATGCTAAATATAGTGGATTAGGACTGGGCGATATATATAGTCTATACAGGTATATAATGATTTTAAAATATTGTGTTATTTTCAATTTTAGTGATATTGTATTGTATATTTGATGGATATTGAGCATTATGTATGATATCAATCCCATTAAATTGCAGATTTTGAGTTGTCAAGCTGTTTGCTTTAGGTTTCGTGATTGTTCGGGGTTGGAATCCAGGACCTGACAGTTGACTGCAGTATCATTTACTGGGTGCTTTAAACTGTTCTTGTTTTGAAAGACCAGTTTAAAATCCATAAAAACATTTTTTTTTACATTTTATTAAACCAGGAAGCATGGATTTATTAGCCTTTTTGATGCCAGTGTTAATCACGTGCCATACCGTCATACTGTGATATATTTTGAACACATCACGATATTGAAGTTTATTAATATCGGTATTTCAGAGAAGAAATTTCTCCTTTGGTGTCCCGTACTCAAACCACAAATCACTTGGACTGGCTGACCAGTGGAAACAAGCCCTTAAACAACAACAGTGCTACGAGATCCAGAAAAACAAATGTCTTTGGGTGTCTCTTGTGCTATTTCATCAATTCCTGATTAGAATTTCACAACAGAAACTGCAGATCTCTATGTAAATAAACTGAATAAGGCCATTCGCAACTAACATTGGACAATCTGTTTATATCTTTGCACATAAGTTGAACACGTAATCTTATTTCTCACAAATAACTATTTTTGTCACTACTCGCAGGAATCTACTTCTATAAGAATCACCCGCTGTTCCAAGTGGACGTGCTGGGCACTGTTGTATACAAACGAGAGAGAGAAGACTTTTATTGCTATGGAGGTAAACCTGGTTCATGTGGCTAAAGTATTCATTATCACTTCATAAAATATGATATAAAAGAGCCAGTACATGAATGCAAGTTAATTGTTGTTCCACTGAATTAGTGTTGTTTTGTGAAGAGCACTGTAAGAAATCAGTGAAACAGTGTTGCTCACAGTTGATGCAGAAATTCTGTCAGTTTTGTTTTAGTTTGATGAATGTTCTCTTTGAATATTCAGTAGATGACAGTACTGGAGTCATTAACTGTCTGTGCTGGAAAGATGAGAAATGGAGAAATCAAGGAGATTCAGTGAGGGGTAAGTGTTAAAGCTGTTTTGCTCAGATGTTGTTTTTAGTTTTAACCACAGTGTGCAAGAAACAAGACCATAACAGTAGTGGCAGCACCAGAAACGGACAATGCTTGAATAGAATCTTAAAGTTTTAAATCTAGTCTAATCTCAAAATACAATGGTTTGATCAAAACAGTGTGGCTAACAGTGAAAGTATGTATGATTGCACTATGATTATGATCATTATTTATTGTTAGCAATGTTTTTTTTTTCCTATGATTATTATATAATTATATAATTGACAATTTCAGCTACAGGATGAGGTCCTAGCAGTGTCTTTTTAATGTGGCAGAGCAGTTTGGCTTTGATCTTGACTAATATCAAAACCATTTAGTTTGGTCAAAGATACTATTGTGGCAAACAGTGAATGAAAGCTACACTATATGGCTAAAACTTTGTTGACACCCCTCCCCTCCTAATGAGTTCAGGTGCTTCAGTCACACCCATTGCTAACAGCTGTATAAAATCAAGCACATAGCCATGCAATCTCCACAGACATACATTAGCAGTAGAACGAGTCATACTGAAGTGACTTTAAATGTGGCACTGTCATAGAATGCCACCTTTGCTACAAATCAGTCTGTGAAATTTCTGCCCTGCTAGTTCTGCCCCAGTCAACTGTAACTGTTATTATTGTGAAATGAAAGTGTCTAGGAACAACAACAGCTCAGCCACAAAGGGGTAGACCACGCAGACTCACAGAGTAGAGCTGCCAGTTGCTGATGTTATGCATCTTCTGTTGCATCACTCACTACAGAAACTGTCTCTAGAAGCAACATCAGCACAAGAACTGCACAAAGCAAGTTCCATAAAGACATAGTTTGATGAGTTTGGAGTGAAGGAACTCCAGTGGTCTGCACAGAGCCCTGACCTCAACCCCACTGAACACCTTGGGATGAATTGGAGCTTTGATTGTGAGCCAGGCCTTCTCATCCAAAAGTGCCTGACCGTGGATGTCCAGCAAGCTCATGTAGGTGTGATGGTCAGGTGTCCACATAGTTTTGACCATACAGTGTAGCAGAGCATGATCAAGCTAACAGACAGATTTCATGACCTGCTAGTCTCTAGCTTTTTAAATTGAATTCTTCCTACATTAGAGCTGTTGATTACTTGTTTGAACTAAACTGTTCCTTATAATTTTATCTGCAGGAAGCAGCCATGGCGGAGTCTTTAATGTGGAGGAGCAGTTGAGAAAGCTCTGTGAAGCTCAGAGGATCGGATGTATGTTGGAAATTGGAGACCTGCTCCGAGTGCGTGGCTCCCTCAAAACCTCTCGGGAGCAGAGGGAGATCATGGCTTCTTCGTTTTGTAAGCAGTGTTGCTCACAATGCACCACAGTACACTTGGAGCCAAGTTTCCAGGCATAGTACAGCATCCAGAATACCCAAGTGTGTTTCTCCAAGAAAAAGACCCAATCAGTATTTGCCCAAACCAACCCACGGGGTTGCTTTTAGGCTTTTAAGTTTGCCTTTATATAAGTGAATATAATAGTGAATACATGCAGTCTTATGCAAAAGACTATGCTAGGCCTGGGTGACAGGGTGATGTAATCAGACATCGTTGATGATGGACAAGCAATCCAGTGGCAATGTGTAAAAGTCAATAATCACCGTTTTATAGATAATTAGAGAGAACTAATTTACTGTTAAACACCTTGTAAATATACTGGGAAATTGGGGTTCACATTTAAAAACTCTGTGTCAATGGTTGGGGTTCTCAGGAAAAAGTGAAAAATATTTAATAATATGTATACATAATATTAGATTTACTTTTACTGTTAAAACATTGAATTATAATTAGGCCTTTAAAAGGCTATGGTAGAGTAAACTCCCCACTGTCTCTGCTGTGTGTGATTTACTGAGAAAAATAGCAATGTTTTCTGCACAGTTTAAGTGTCCTGGTGGTTAGTTGAATTATGAAAACTCCATGTGTGTTTGGGGTTGGGAGGGGGGTGTTATTGATAATCATATCACGATTTTTAACCTGAAAACATTGTGCTAATTAATTTTAGAAATCACCTAGGCCTAGACTGTGTGATAGAATTAGCAGAAAATACCATATTTAAGTTTGTTCTCTTCAGAGGATGTGAACTTATTTGCACTTAGATCAACAAAACATATATTTGACCAGTGGTTTTCAAACCTTTGCATACGACTGTATATAATATGTGTACAATATATGGATGGGAGAGCTGATGCTAGATCATCTTTGTACTTACAGATATATTTACAGGCGCCTTTGGCACAAGATGTTGCAGTGATTAGTGTAAGCAGGATCAAGGTTGTTTAAAGGAGAAATGCACAAATATTTCAAAATTTATGCAGAATTCAATAGTTTAACTGTAAACAAAGTCATTTAGAGTGGTTTGTTGTGAAATGGTGTGTTTTAGAGACATTTGCCGTGAGCTTTCTTTACAGTGATGGTGAAATGAACAGGGGTCACAATGTTTACAGTACAAATTCAGCCCATTTCTTTACCAAACGACCAGTGAACCTACAAATGTCTTCTGAGTTAAATTTGTAGCTATTTCATGTAATAATGTAATATGAGGTAGTTAACAGCTGTAGTGACAGGGAAAGCAATTCTGACAGCTAAGTTTCTCTAGAAACTCTCTGTAATTTTTATTACTCAGATAAAGTGAGTGATCCTGTGATGGATGTGCAGATTGCTCGGATGCTGGATATGCCTCAGCTCTACAGGGACTGCTACAACAAGCCCTTCCAGGTGCCGTGTGGTGAGCTTGAAGCGGGCACCACTGAGTGAGTCACACAGAAAGATTATTACAGCTGATAACAGTAACACTGACGCTTGAGGACAAAAAACCTGAAGTAGCTTTTATTAATTAGCAGAAAAAGAACTTATGGGTGGGGTAGGTGAGAGGCCTAAGAATGAGTCATGAGATGCGTTTTAAAGATGGAAAAATGTGTGAGGGGAAGGGAGATCCAGAGTGGAGTGCTGTAGAAAAAACATCACGTAGACCAAGGATAGATGGAGGGAGAGTAAGCAGACCAGAAGAGGACTTGAGTGCAAGTCAGTTGATAGGAAGGAAGGAGATCAGAAAAATAGGAGGGAACAGGATTATTCAAGGTTTTGTACAGCCTCTGGTCAAATTACATGTTTGTGTAAATAAGGATACCCATCCACTACAGAGAGCACACTTTAGAAAGCAATATTTAGTGCAAAATTTCTGTTTCATTACTGAGTTTAACATATTGGAAAAAATAAAACGTCATAAATTTTGCCCAGGGCACTGTTTTTGTGTTTCTTTTTTCTCCAGTATGTTGAATTCAGCAAATAAATACTAATTATTTAATAATTGTGCATTAAAATTTGCAGAAGTGTAGAAGATGTGTTAACTTATTTTCACTTAGAAAATCAACTAAACTTGTCATTTGACCAGGGGAGAGGGGTGGGCGATAGGGCAAAAATATAATTTCACAATAAATTACAAGTTCATGATACATATGCATCATTATATTTGGTTTTTAACATACTATCAAAACTACAAGTATAATGATATTAAACATTTTACACACTGTGCTAAAGTAATTGCAGTTTAGAAGGACCAGTTATGCTCTTTGAAATGAATCATACAGTTGTTATTTATGTAACAACGATATTCATGATAAATTGAGAAGGGACACCTGACAAACACCCTCAATTGTCATAGCTCTGGATGAAGAGAGAGAGAAGAACTTAACCGTTCCCACACAATGACAACACAACCATTAATGGCTCTTTTGGGTTTACAAAGACAGTAAAACTCTACTATTTAGTAACTATAAAATCACCCAGTGTGATCCACTGATGGGTTGGCTGTTCAACCAGCCAAACTTCAGTAAGAAATTCAATTTGTGATGGGCTAGCAAGAACATTTAAATGCCTTGATATTAATTACAATTACTCATTTCTTTCTTTCAGTGCTGGTGGGCCGTCAAATATCCAGTCTTTGCTTGGTCAGTCAGTTTGCATCCTGAAGGAGTTCCTGAAAGAGAAAGAGGTGCCCAAGTTTAGGCCCTACGACGTTGAGTATCTCTTACACCCTCTGATCCGGTCGCCTGTTCCGAGCACATCAACAGGACAGGTGGCGCATGTGACCTCAAGATCTTCATGCAGTTAAAGTAAAATTGTAAATCAGAAAGTGAGACGTGCACTTCAAAACATATGAAATCATACATTGTACCATTCCAAAAAATTAGTTTTGACTTGATGGGATTCCCCTTTAAAGCACATAGAAGCAGCATCTATTTATATTATCAAGTGATATTAAAATGATGTTTATGAGAGAGTGAAACCATGTCAGCAGGTGAGCCATTGCTGCTGTAGCCTTTTCAGATTTTATAGGGCTCATATCATAGAGAGCAGAGTTTTCTTCACTTTTTTGAAATTAAAAAGTGTATTTAGTAGGATGTAAACACTTTTAAAATTACAAAACATGCTTCTCACTCATAGTCCATGTAGTCCATATATGCTGTTTTTGTTGTTTATTTTCCATGTTTTAATTCATTCTTTTTGTGATTTCATAAAAAAAACAGCACATTTGTATATATTCAGCCTACAGCAGTTCAGCCCTGCCCATTCACACAGATGTTATAAGGATTGCTTCAGCCTAGACTGCTTTTTGAGGCACAATACAGAGCAGTCAGATAGAACAGAGCTCATTTACATATATCAGGCACTGTAACTGAAACAGACTGTTAGAGTTTAAGGGATAAAGAGGGGCAAAAATTAAATACAAATGGTTTTGGTACTTAAAACCAACTTGGAAATGTGGAAAAATTAAATAGCAGAAAAGTTTAGGATATGGGCCCTTAAAATACCTGCCAATGTACTATTTTTCAGAATTTGGCACTTCTTTGCTTGTGCTTTTTTCAGTATTAAAAAAAACCCCTCATCATTCATTATTTGTGAATCATCTGAATGATTCAGAATGATTCATGAATCATCACGACTGAATCATGAATCATCAGACTGAATCATGAACTCCTATTTGATGAATAGTCTTAGTCTGTGTGTTTTGTGTTTGTTGTAGGAGTCAACTTCTGTTGGTCCATCATTTCCCACACAAGTCAAGAACCTTCTTAAAGAAACACTAAAGCTTCTCCAGAGAGAGGGGGAGATATTCCGCAAGGTCCTGTCCCCAGATGAGCTTTACCATGTAAGCAAAGATATAATGGAAAACGTAACTTTCAGCCTGGTTGTGGATTTCTTTCATTTAGTGAAAAACTTAATTCACTTGTATCAGGGTTAGAATGACCCAGATTAAACATGCTTAAAGATCTGATAAGTAAGCTATCCGTGTACATATTGTGAGAAAAATAACATCTTTGGACCTTTAAACTGTAAATGGCTTATAGAGGTGCCTATGGTTGGTTCTACAGTGCATTGAAGAGCTATTGGAGAATGTGTTCATGCTATTTTGCCTTAGGCTATTCCTTTGTAAATACTCATTAACTATGTTTGGTTGGGACAGTATTACATCGTTTCTAATAGGGGTGGGCATTTTAAACACTTTTGCCACGTTTGCTTTTTTGAAAGAATAGTATTAAAAAATTCAGATAAGAAAATCTTACATGTTTTATGAATAGTGTATTAAAACTTGCATTTCTTTAAATTTGCATGTGCTTTAAATGTGTTTATTACATGCAGAGGTGATCTGTACTGCGTGATTTAGGGTTTATCTTTGTGTTTTATGTGAATATAGTTCAACATAACCTGACCTACAGAACAGTAACAGATGTAATATCTAGGGGGGGAAAAAGATATACATTTTAATTTATTAAATTTAAAAGATAATACACATTTTCTTTCTTTATGTGTAGGTGAGGTGACTGTGTTTAATTATGTTCCTGTCTGTCTGCTGCAGGTAACTGAACAGGATAAAGATCTGCTTGCGGCGATCCGAGATGTCATACGAGAAGATTCCAAAAGAGAGAAATGTCAGTTCTTCTTCCTGCTTATTGAACAGGATAAACTGATTTGCCTGATATCCAAGACTAGCAGTCAGGTTGCATGTTTGGATATATAGCTGTCTATACTACTTACCTTTATACAGCAATCCAGAAACATTTAATTTTACCCTAACAGTTACTTTTTATGTCTGCAATCCTGGAGACTTTTGACATCAAACCAACATGATTGATCAACAGCTAATTTACCTTTACTAGGATGGTAATCAAGTCCTTTATGAGTTGGAGAATGGGATGCTGAATAGTTTACAGAATTGACCAGCGTTCTCTGCAGAATCACAGCTTTGCATAGTTTATATTCTCTGCTGTGAAACACTTGATTCAACTCGTAAAGGACATGATTACTAGCTTGTAATAAAAGTTAATTAGTTGTTGATCAGTTGTGTTGTCAGAGAAAAAGCCAAACTCTGCAGTCCTGGATACCTTCATACAGGGAGTAATGAACCCTGGAAATAAATGGCTGTCATTGTAAAATGATGTGATTTTTAATAATGTATTCCTTCAGTGTATACTCACTGTTTTACAACTGGTTTGAATGTGGCTCGGATTTTAGAACTGGGACTATCCATTTTTATAAAGTGAAGTATTATAGATAACATCCAAATATGTGATCCAATGGCTCATGTCTTAACTGTTGCACTTTTAGTGTGCTGATTGTTGTGTACTGTCTATTTCCAGATGCTGAGAAGGGTTGCCATATCCTGCATGTCTTATCCAGTGTAAGGCAGCGCTACAGTCGTAATCTGAGCAGAGAAGCCCTGGAAGTCGCCCTCAAGTTTTTAGAGTGCAACAGTGACATCATCAGCACTACGGACTCTCACTACACTGTTTTATAGCAGTGAAATTTGAAACATCTTGGAAAAGCCACAGATCCACCCCATAGACAGTTCTGTAGAAACCTGTTAGGTCCATGGAAAGAGTGCTCAAGTCTTTGGTATTACAAAACACAGAAAAATGGAAGGTGCAATTACATTGCTGTAAACGTGAGGTATTTCTTATGAGTAATTAGAACCAGTTCCATCATGAACAGATTTCGTCAGGGTCACTGGAAGTACCATTTTTATTGACAGTGTTCAGTTTACACTGCAGTTGTATTGCAGTAATTCTCCTAAGTGGGGCTTAAAAGGAATATTAGTCTTTTTTTTTTTTTAAACATGTATTAGGTCTAATTTAGTGTAAATGTGGAGACTTTGTTTAAAAATACTTTAGAATCATTTATAAGTTTCCTCTCATTTGAGAAACTCACAGAAAATGCTGAATGACGTTTTTCTTGAAAAAAAGTGTACACTGCAGGCTTTTTCCAACTCAAGTTTAAATCATGTTTTAAAAAACAATAAAAAATAAATATATATCGATGTTTGTATATATGTTTCTATATTGTCACTATCGGAACAAAACCTTGTACCTCCGAAAAGCTAACTTTACAGAAGAAGGCAAAGTGTTCATACCTTTTAATGGAAGTCAAGTGGAAATTTATTCCAAGCAATTTTGCACCTTTTCGTCTGGTCCATTCATTTTAAATTTTTGACAAAACATAGAGGTGCAGCTGGTAAATTTAAATGATGCCATATGGCCAAAAGTTTGTGGACACCTCCTTATCCAATGTTTCTTCCAAAATCAAGAGTATAAAAAATGGTTTTATCCTGCTCTGCTGCAGTAACTGTCTCTGCTCTTCGGGGATGGCTTTACACTAAATGTTGGAACATTGCTGTGAGGATTTGTTTGTATTCAGCAGCAGGAGCACTAGAGAGATCAGGTATTGATGTTGGATGATTAGTTTTGGATCACAGTCTCCACTCCGACTCATCCCAAAAGTATTGGTTGGTGCTTTGTCGCTCTAGAGAATTCAGTTCCACTGCACCACAGCTCAATGCTGGGGGGCTTCATACCCCTCTTGCCTACACTTAGCATTGGACATGGTGACCTTAGGTTTACGTGCAGCTGCTCCAGAGCATCTTGTTCTGTTGTCAGCGCTTTTCTACAACCTGTGGGTGCATCTGAACTCCTGTGTGAGCAGTGAGTGCACCTTAATGCAGCTGAATTCACTACTAATAAGAAGGGGTGTCCACAAAATTTTGGACACGTAGTGTATGTAGAAAAATGAAAAAGGACAAAGGTGGAGATGTGTGGTTTTGTCCCAACAGTGATGATATATATATATATACATATTTGTGTTGCATGTATATATGTATACATAAATAAATGTGTGTGTGTGTAGTAAAATCTGAAAACGTGAGGGCAGATTTGTGCCACAGGGAGGCAGTATAAGCAAATCCAGGCACAGCTGTCCATGAGCACATCTGTATCCATGCAGTTTTCCAGTGCTGCCACCCTATTGGCAGCAGATAACCTGTCTAATAAATACTGATGAGTCAATTCGACAGTAGCTGGAGAACTTTTTTGGCACGAGGGAACGGATTAGCTGTTCATGAGGCTACATTTCACTTAATGTAAGATTAGTGCTGCTCTACAGTCTATCTCAGCCCTCAGAGTCACCCCCATTACACTAACACTGGGGGATTTTGGACAAAGCTACAGAAAAGGGGGCAGAAAAACCAGCGTAGAGTTTTTTTCTTGCTCTTATCTTGTCTTACACGAAGGAAGACGATGTTGGTACCAACTATTTTCCCCCTCCTTCAGAGGCTTCCTTCTCAGCAGAGCTGTGCAGAAAGAAGCCCGGCCCATTAGCTCCACAATAACAGCCCTGAGAGAGAGAGAGAGAGAGAGCGCGAGTGAGTGAGCGAGTGAGTCCGTTCACTCCAAGCTTGACGAGCCTTTTCGGCGAGCCTCAGCGTCGTGTTTTAAAGGAGAACCGGCCCCCTTCGGCTCTAACCGCGCTCTAGGTCCGTGCTAAAGGAGCTAAGCGCTCAACTTGGCTCTTTTGTTTCCATCACGCACGCGCCAACAAGCAGCGCTGCGGTTCTGAAGGTTCGAATGTTCTGAAGGTTCCGCCGCGATCCGCGTGCAGCGCAGCTGAGGAGAGCGACCAACTCCGCTCTGCGAATAAATGGATTCCGTGCTTGTTCTGTCGTTTTTCCTGCGCTTCGTATGAGAAGACGGCACTAAGTTCCAGCTTGACCCCCCTCCTCCAGCCCCCCCGTCTCCGTCTCCCTCTCCCGCTGCTGGGCTGCTCGGTATTCGTGTCGCTTCATTAGCTTTACTTAATCATACGAGCTCACGCGGGAACTGATTTTCCACAGGACAAAAAAACAAAACAAAAAAAACAACAACAAAAAAACCAAAAACAAACAAAAAAAAAACCAAAACGGAGGGAAACAACGAACGGCGTTTTCATGAGGAGAGCAGCGGGATTATTCAGCCACATTTCTTCGTGAGGGTCCCGCACATAAAGAGAGGAGGGGGGGCATCATCTACACCTCACACCTCTCACAGGAATTTCAGCATTTATTCCCTTCTTCCAGTCGTGAAAGACGCCTCCGGTCCAGCAATGCAGCTCCGCACCGTTTTGGACGTGAAAGTCGTGGACGTGGAGAAGAGAAGGCACCCCTCCAAACACTACGTGAGTGGGCCTGTAATATAGCTCGGTTCTACCTGGCCAGCCTTTGTGTTGTGTTTTTTTCCTTTACAGGTTCTGGCCCGAATATTCGGGCACAACAGTCGTGAGGTAGACAAGCGAGGGCTCTAGTGAGGCAGCATGAGAAGCTGGTATGAACAGAGAGATGAAAACGGCGGAGGAGAAGTGGATCGATGGGGATGACGTCATGCGCGTTTCTGAAACGCGAGTGATGAAGGTCGTGAAAAACGTCCACGCTTCAACTTTTACAGCCCACTTGGGGTATAGTGTGATGCCCCTCGCCTTTGGGGGCTGTAACAGGCTGATCTTGTGTGTGTGTTGCAGTGTCAGCAGGTGTTAAACGTACGGATTTGACAGGCGTGAGTGAGTCTGTGGTAACTGTTCATCTTTGGGCTGTGTTTTGTGGTCACAGCGTGCTGCATGTTACCGAATGAAGACGCTGCATCCTCCTTGATGCTTAGCCAAATGTTGGACCACTTTTAGCCAGTGTCACTGCACTTGGACCCTGTAGTTCAGGGGTGCCTAACCCTGGTCCTAAAGAGCTATCACACTGAAGAGTGTAGCTTTAACCCTAATCTAACACACCTCATCCAGGCAGTGAAGGCCTTCGGGGGGATCTGCATGTTAAAGCTAGATGTGTTGGATCTGAACTCTCCAGGGTGGTAGATCTCTGGACCAAGATTGGGCACGTCTGCTGTTCTTTAAGGGTCTTCAGTTTCAGGGAGGTAGTCTGGTGACTTCCCTGCTCTAGTACACCTAATTAATCTCGTCAGTTAGCTTCCAGGTTTAGTTGGAGGGTTAGAGCAGGGAGGTTACTGCCAGAACTACTGAGCCATGAGCTACAGGGCCCAGTAAGTGTGGTCACATTGGCCAAAAGTAGTGCAACATTTGGCTCAGCGCCAAAGGAGATGCTGCAAAAAGACAAGAAAATGATTTTCACTCCTGTACAGCATACTCAGACTAAAACACAGTCAGTTGTTGTAGTTGTTGACAGCACTGTCAAATGAGCATTTCCAACCCATAGTGAGGTGTGAGGACGCTTTGATTTGAGCTGATCTGATGTGAGAAAGGCTCTCGTGCTCTTGTTCAGAATGTGAGATATTGATCCTGAAACAGTAAGGCGTAAGGTTCGAAGCTGAAATGATGAAGCTCTGATCAAAACCAATCTGATGAAATGCTCACCTGCAGTTAAAAGTGTGATTAATTTAATTTATTTGATAATTGTGTCTGAATATTACGTCCACACAGGGTAAACCTTTTGACATGAATGCAATATATTACATGGAAATTATGTTCACATTTGTATCATGTAAGTTGAATCCATTACTTTGTTCAGTGTGCATCGCTCTAAATGCATTGAATGCATTCACATAGTTGACTTTGTTGAAGTAGCTTTTTTGGAGAATAATGTACATCAGCAGGCCTTCAGCGAGCTGGATGAGATCTGCAAAAATACTGCCAAAATGACTTGAATACTTGAGTCTACATCTGCTAGCAAGGTTTTTTGCAGCCCAGTCTAGATGAATTGCAACCAAACTGATCTACGATCAGTTTGGAAATTGGTGGCTTCTACCAGCGCTGCTGTTACTGGGCTCTCTTTTTTGCTCTGTATTCTCCTTCTTTTCTCTCTCTAGGGAGAGTTAGAGACTGTGAGAAGAATCTAGATGGGCTTATCCTTCAGCCTCACATGGATCTCTACAACTGTCTTGAGGGGAGAGAGAGAGTGAGATGGAAAGAGAGAGAGAAAGAGAGAGAGAGAGAGAGAGAGAGAGAAGCGGGCTCATTCGCTGTGTTTGTGAAACAGCTGGAGATGCTTATACTGTGAGGAAGAGTAGAGGTTGTGAGAGAAGGAGGAAGGGCCTGTGTACCCATATCCTTCATGTTTTATTCCCAAAGAAGTGATCTGCCTAGAGGAAAACCAACTTCCTCTTTTCTGCCTAGGAACCTGGACTGTGCTTAAACTTGCGCTTCCCTTTATGTGGTTTGGGCAGGTGCACTTTGCCCTTTTTAACCATTTTAGTCCAAAGCAAAAAGTGGATATTTCAGCCCTTCTAATCTTCTCTTCTCGTTTAATTATGAGAATGCTGTTGTTGTCTGTATTTTGCTACACTGATACACACAGTCGAATATGCTAAATCTATAGATTTATGTTTTGTTTATGTTATAAATGGCTGTTTTGAGCAAGCAAGCGTATGAATAGGACTGTACTTCACACTTCGGTTGCTTTTATTGTTCCGCTAATTAAAGAAATCAATGTCGTTAGTGGTCTGAGTACCATTCTGAATGAGCACTTGCTCGCTTAGAAACTATCGCAGTGCATCCAACAATAAAGGTGACATCAAAGGTGACAGAAAGCTCCAGTTCCACGGGCTGATCCATTGTACTATGCTTAATGTGGGCGCACGCATGGCCTGACTGCTCTGGTGGCAGATTTTAATGGGTTTAAAGTAAACAAAGCCAAATCTCTGAAGACACACTAAAGATATGTTAGGTAAGATATGATTAACGCTGATTTCAGGTCAGTTTTAGGCGCAGTTGACAAGATGATGAAGGACATGCTCATGGCAGCTATGACTGCTCCTTGTTCGTCATTGTTAGTAAGCTGTATGAACTGTGTCGGTCGAGAAGAGAGGGAGTAGAGGAGTGGAAAGATTGAGTGCGTCAGTTCTGCTGCCAGACAGGAAGCTAGCTTTGCCATACAGGATTTGCTTCAGAGTCCCATTAAAGCACTGTGTTTTCAGCAGGGTTATGCAGTGGATTACCAAGCACAAACACATACACACAACAGGAGAGATATGAATCAGACATCTAAATATGCTTTTGCTGCTTATTAAAGCTGCCTCTCAGCTCCTGAAGGTTTTTATGGCTGCTCTAAGTTTAACAGAGTTCGCTGCTGGACATCGTTACGTCCTTGTTAAATAAGCCCATAAAATGTCAGTCAGAATAGCGTCTTGACTTGGTCGCTTACTTATTAGGCTCTCAGACCCAGGCAGTGCTCTACATGTGTGGTGGAAAGTTGAGTCTTTTCAAGCGCCAAGGGCCAAGCTCCAACAGTGAGCAGCACAGATTTTAAAGGGTTTTAGTCACTGACTGTCCATTGTTTGGAGATTTTGCCTGGAGGGAAGAGAAGCAGGACAAGTATTGTATGTGTGAGTGAGAGAACCTTGGTAATTACTCACTACTGTTACGTGAGTGAGTTACTCAGGTCATTGTGCTGTGTTCTCAAGGCTCTCTCATTGTCTGTGCCGAGGCCCATCAGAGTCCCTCATGTCCAAGAAGTGTCTGTGTATGTGTGTGAGAGAGAGAGAGCCATTGTCAGCCTCTGAAAGTTCTTACAGTTCCCTCCAGTCGTTCTGCTCTGGTTCTTCTCAAAGTCTCTGTGATTGCTTTCACTGTTTTTTCTTCTCTTTCCAACTATTACTTTATCACATCAGAAACCAGCTCCAGCTCCAACACAAAGGATCAGGTACATTCTAGCACTGGCCATTTTAACCGTTTGTGATCTACAAATGTCCACATTTTTTAACTAATTGTATTTGTTTGTCTCAGTGAGAATTTTTGTTGTACTGTTATGCATATAAACGAAAACACTGAGGGTTTAACATTCATGTACCTAATTGTTCAGGTGATTTCTCATTTGTTTTTTGTGATTTTGCATTGTATAAATTTGTCATTTGTCATTTTGTTGAAGATATTTCCATCCACAGTTCTGCTTAGATCAGTGTGAATCGGTAATTGTAATGCATTTGCCTTCTGTACTATGACTTATTTTGGAGTAGAGTGTGGAATGATGCCAGATCTTTGTGCTAGCAGAGCGTTTTATTCGACAGGTAGGAGTGGTGGAACATATTACTGGTTAATTTTATTTCTCCCCTGCCCACTGGTGTACGGCAGTGGGTGAATTTGGTACACTTTGTTCACATATTAAGGGAAAACAAGACATTTTGTAAAAAGGTCAGTTTTACTTTCAGGTTGACTTTAACGCACATCATCAGCTACTTGTGTCCTGAAATTCTCTGCGAAAGATATGCAGTTCGTTTCATTAATTTTATTCCAAGCTACACATGCCTTAATCGGACTCCTGATTAAAACAGATAAACAGATACTAAGATGAATCTGTTTATTTTTGAATGGCCATGTATTTGAACGTGTTCTGAAGAAATCTTCAAGCCATCCTATAATTCTTTTACATTTTATGGCCTTGTAACTCACTTTCTGACAAGCAGCTTCGGTTCTTACTGTGTCCTTTTCTACATCGTCTGGTTTTCATTTCCCCATCTCTTATATCTCCTTTTTCCCTTCTCCGTCCTTCTGGTTCCTTGTCCAAGAAGACATCTTGTGCTGCTAAATTGCCGTTGCCTGTGGGCCTGAGTTGTTTTGAGCCTGTCGACTGTGGGGTGGTGGATGGGATTGCTTTCAGGGCAAGATGATTACATCATGTGGCAGTTATGATCCATGGCAGTAGTGGCGTTTGTGGGCGACGTGGGAAACCACTGTGGGGCTCAGAGAAATGGGGTTCAGTGTGTGCATTACTAGAATCTTCATATCTGATCTTGGATCAGTCTTTTGCTGTTCGTCTGTATGTTTCTATGTACATAAGGAATGATCCTAGATCAGCACCCTTAATATGTGGCATGTATTCACCCTTTTTCATGGCAAGGTTTCTTCATCTAGTCTGGGGCCATAAATCTGATTTGTTTACCTGATTTGATTGCTGTTTTTTCGTATTGCACAAGATGGATTTCCCAAAATTTCAGAGCTTATCGTGAAGTGGAATCGAGATTATCAGTTGGATAAACTACATTTATGAGGAGGCATTATATTGGCCAAGAGACCAATACCGGCCACCCAAGACATGTTTGGTGTTGGAAGTTTGCATCTTTAGTTTTGTTCAGCAGCTACAAGGCTGTCAAATTATGGAAGTTTATATCCTGTTACCAGCTAACATTGTGCAAACTGCATGCCTAAGGGGGCGATCGCACAGT